CGTAAAAGAATCTTCGGAACCTTTGATGTTGGTTTCAACAAAAAAACACCAAAATATGAGAAAGAATGATGAAGCTCAAGGCTTTTGTTCTTGTAGTTCAACTTAGGAAATCTCACCTCGAACCTTGACAGCATGTCTTTGGAGTACTGTCAGTTCTCTCGTCATGTTTCTCCTTTTCTACCTTCAATCTTATCTAAGGCATGCCGCTGTATTTCCTCCAAACGGATATGACTCTGGCACAAGGGCAAGTTGTGAGGCTTGTGTAGATGACATGAGTGGGTCGACCCGTGAGGGAAATCACCTGTCTCGGACCCATGATTTGCCTAAAAGTGGCTGCAGCGGCATTTTGGACATGAGCCGACTGAGTGGAAAACAAGTCTCTTGCCCGATGGTGCCAAACCTAAACCCAATTCAATGACTCCCAATTAAATGCAATGAAAACTCCTTAGAAGTGGATTCACCTATGGAGGCTAAATGGAGGGTGTGTGGAGAAGGGGGCAGCAAAAATTGCTTATACGAAGTTAGTGACGTTAGTGCATCAAAAATACCTTCCACAATGTTCTGCAAAGGTTTCTGGGATTTCGTTGCAGTCAGTTCTCCTACTGGCCCACCATTCCACGAACTGTCCACGAATAGCCTTTGGTTCTACGAATGTCCCGCGCCTTCCATGATGTTAGTAGAATAGGTTTTTGCGAAACCCTTTCTGTGCACTACCCTTCCGTTTGCCTCTGAACCTAGTTCGGGAAACTAAAGATCCCCCTTTCTCCGCACGTTCGCAAGTTAATAAGTAGTTCAAATCGATCGAAGCATCGGTCGTCTTTAAAGCATCGGTTTCAACAACGAATTGCTTCGAGCATGCTGGGTGCAGATGTACCCGTACGGACCCTTTCATGGCAAATGGTCATGACCCAAATGTCATACATAGAGTGTCTGGGATCGGTGCGGTGCGAACATGTAAACACACCGAGTGTGTGGTGCGGGCGCCCATGTTGACTGACTACGAAGATACACAATTCAACTGCAGTTCTGCACCTGACCTTTCCGTCCTCAAAGAAAGGAGTCATCCTATGGAACCCGAGATCTGCTAACATCCTCTTCCAAAGCCCCGGCAGTCATCGCGCAGACACATCGCTTTTTGGGGTCGCTTGAAAATAGATCGTGGATCTCCAGCATCAGCGGAGGTGAGCATCTCAGTTCATCTGTGAGCCACTGATCTTTGCATCCGGTCTGCCATATTGCATTGTGATTGTCTTCTCCATATGTGAAGCGCAACCAGCTCTGAAATGTGTAAACGCGGCAACACACTCCGACAGCGATTTGTGTGGGTGGTTGGGCACTCCTGGTCAACATATGTCAACATAGAGTCGTCTGTGAGTGGGAACAAATAATTAGAAACCAACCAAACCAAAAGCCATGGTAGGCTACGGTTGGCAAGCATAAAGACTGGACTGTAGGACCTGTAGGACCAGGACAACCCATCGATCGTGAGGCATCCTTAGGCCATGATAGGCCATGTTAGTCTGTTAGAGATTCTCGGATTTGATTCTGTCTCGGACATGTTCAACCAAAACACTCCGAACAGCGAACCGCGCCGAATACACCAAAACACTCTGACTTGACCTGACTCGGATCTCATGACCTGACTCAGCCGGGTTGAATCATCCCAGTCCATAGAGGTTGAAATAAACATATCTGAAACCACCCAGTCCAGTGTCAAATGCAGCATGCTGTCCATGCTGTCTACTATAGTCTATAGTCTTAATCTGCCAGGAGTTTCATGGAGGTGGGTGGGGACAGCAATCCCATCTAAGTGAGTGGAACATGATGGGCACCGGGCACCTGAAGACATCGCCAGCACCCCGACGTGATGGGCACCCCGGCTTCGGATCGATCTCGACCTGGAGAGAGCCAATTGAACAAGACAAGGGCAATGGTTTTTGTTGTTTTTAATATGTTATTGTCATTGTTTATTGTTTTTTTCGGCAGCCAAGCGTGATGGACTGAGCACAGAAGCAGCACTGGCCAAGGATCTCCAAATATGTCGTTCCTGTCTGCTGAAGAGGATTCCAAGTTCGATCCATTCCCACAAAAAACACTGCCATAGGTGGTCAAAATCCGCTGATAAATAGCTGGTCACTTGGCCCGATTTCGGGGCAAAATTTCAAAGGGCTCGGGCCTGATTATCATTTAATGACTTTGTATTCACTGCCATTGTTTTCGTTATACTATAATAATCTATAATCAATTGCAAGCTAGCAGCTAGCATTCAAGCTAGCATTCGAAAGGACATGGTGTTCGTTACGACAACAAGCGAGCTTTGGCCTGAGTCTTCCAGCTTGCGCATCAAAATGCAAACCTAAAGACGGATCCGGAACCCGACGTGAAGCGAGCTAGCTCGCTTCGTCCGGTGGAAAAGCAGCCACATCCGGTGGGAGAATGCAAAGAAATGCCAAGAAATTGATTTGGATGTGGCTCAGCAAACTACAGGCGTTTGATGGCTTTAGTAGATGTTTCTGAAAAATTGCATCTGTTTGCCGGACTTGAAAGGCACCCTACTTTTAGGCCCAAAAACGACCCATGTCTGGCCCATGTCTAGTGGCCAAAACCTGGGACTTCGTCCTGCGCGGTCGAGTGACAGCGCGGACCTTCCCTGTTGGACCAATGAAACGGCGATCACAGGAGATCCGTTGAAAAAGTCAATAACTTATTGTGTTCTATTGTACTTATGATTGCAGTGCGCAGCTCAAAAAATATCTGAGGAGCCCTCCATTCTCACAAACAACACATGACGTGGTTGAGCCAGGTGCATGAGATGATCACCTGTACGTGCAGAACCAGTCTCACATGGCAAGGATAGTGCAATCCTTTCTTTGGAGGGGGCCTCATTTGGAGCCGCGGCTAGGAATCCTCAACTCTCTCCTCCAAAACTTGACGAAACAAACATCACCCTAGCCTTCCAAGACCATTAAAAGAAAGGTTGCGCTGGTTTTGTAGTCTAAACTTGCAGAAGATGTTTTGTTCGGTGGGCCATGGTTCCTCTCGGGACCCATCTACTCTTCAGAGTCCTTGAACTCGGATGTTGGGAGGAGCAAGTACTTGTCAGCATCTTTTTGATGCTGGACCATCCTCGACGGACCATCCTCCAAACCGCGCCACACCGGTGTGGAACGCGTGGAACGGCATCGGACGGTGAAGGTGACTGGTGGACCGAGCCGGAGGACCACTTCCATCTGATCGCAGTTTCTGAAAGGCTTGAGATGTGTTTTTCATCCCCCTGAATGATAGCCCGGTGAGGTTGTGCTAAGCATTCTGTAGAGGATACAGGTAGGGGTATTGTTTTTCAATACAAACAGCAAGTTGCATTATCTTCTGACTTGGTGAAGATACATTTTGAGGTTTGTCAAACCAGTTCTGACATCACAAGCACGTTGTAGCCAAGGCTTGTGATGACGCAATCACCCATTGTTCTGACCGGAACTTGCCATTTCGCTGGAAATGTCCAAGCATCACCTTGATGAATGGAGATATATGTTGTCATTCTAAACTAGAGTCTGCGAGGTTGATTCACCCATATGGATATCTTTCGCACAAATGAGAGAGCTTGAATGTTATAGCCTCCACCATGACTATAATCGCCTCCTACCCACCCAAAAACCATGAAGATTTGAGTGTCTTAGATGGTGTACCACCGCACTCTGGTGCAAAAGACCATTGTTTACTGGTAGACCGCCTATAGCGGAACAAAGCAGACTGCAGTACTTGTCTTGTCGATATCTTCGGATGGATGTGCCTTCGTACCACCCAGAGGCAGGCAGGATGAGGGGAGGTGAAGAGGGAGCAAATGTGAATGCTCTGCAGGGTCTGAAAAAAGACATCAACCCCAGACCATCCATCAAACTGGAATAGTTACTTAGGGTTAGGGTATCTTAATTAGGGTAATAGATGGGGTAAATGATGGTAAATATATATATATATATTCCAGTCCCATTCGTCTGGTCTGGGAACGGATGTTCCAACGATGTTCCAGATCTGTGGGTCAATGCCCTGAGCGGACTGGAGCCAAACCCTCCGAGCTGTTCCCTGTTGAGCGGACCGGTGCTTGGCTCTGAAGGTACGTGGTAGTCCGGTCTGCAAATCCTCGAGCGGAGTCACGTAGTACGGATCGAAGACCTGAACACCCTTTGAGGACGGCCTTTGGGAGACACTTTTGATATCTGTTGAAGTCCCTAGGGCTCCAAGTACCTTCTAAGGTGTTTGGGGTGGGTGCCTGGAGGGTCCAAATACCTTCGGATATGGTTGGAGCCCTAGGGTTGAGTTATGAGTCCAGTCGTACCGAACTTCGTAGGTCTGTGGATCCCTATCGCCCCCAGGGTATGTATGACCACCTACAGTAGCAGGATGTTCAGATTGAAAGGAGACCCTCTAATTCTTTACCTCACAGCCTTGTGACCACGATGGCTGTCAATCCTCCACGCCCCACAAGACCTGCCCGCGGAAACCAGCGCGGCAGGGCAGTTCTACCGCAGCGGAAAGCACTCTAAAGAGCAGAACGCGCGCGGCGGAAACCCGTCAGCCGAGCTGAGCTACTGACACATCCTCCCCAAGAAGATCCCTTCTTCGACCGATGTGCGACCGATGTTGGACCCTCGAAACTGCCTCCCCGATCAAACACCGAACCTTCCAGGTTCAACGGTGTACCACATGTGTGGGAACACCACGAGGTGCTTCGTTCCTGGACTGAACCGACCCCCCGGTCCCAGGAATAAAACCAACATATAACGCCAAACGCACGGGGTCATGAGTATAGTCTGAGCGATGAAATCTATTTCCTGCAAGGCATCACAATGACCCCGGTGAAATCGATACAGGTGACTCAGATGACAATTACATAATTACATGGATTTTCCAAATCTGCAACATGTTTGCCTCTGGAGTGGGATTTGTCGACGATAAGACCAACTTGTTGTTGGAAGACCAAGTGATGAGGATTGATGAGTCATACAAAAACCTCCTTGCAGTCCCACCCAACCTTTGACCAATTAGACTCCTTCATTGACCTTCATTGAAGCACCGGCGCCGGTGGAAACTAGGGAACCCAGTGGGCTGTGCATCACTTCCCTCTTTGGCCTGTCTGCTCAACTGTTTCTTCCCTCACCTGCGTGCCGCGCAACCTTCAAAACGTCTGCGCTTCTGCAGTTCTTCCGCGGGGACTCGTGGAAACTGCATGGTCCACTGTGTCGTCCCCTGCGAGAATTCGCTAGAGGTCCTTGAGATTCGGTAAATTCCCTTCAGTCCTTGCAGTCATGTGCTGATTCTTTCTCCTGCCAATCTCGGCGGAACGATGCCGAACAGGATCGGCCAGCCGGGATTTAGCACGGGGATGTCCAGGGGTTCAAAACTCTTAGATTCATAATTAATAAACAAACATATACCACGGCGACGGCAGCGAAAAGGCTGAAAAACCATCAAACGGTCGAGGAAGACCAGATCTTCGCGCTTCCGGGTCCGTCTAGAGCCTGAACTGTCTTCTCTTCAGAGAAGGCTGAGCGGCTGACCCTTGCAGTCAACCTGCACCATCCAATGGGTGTCCAGCCAGGACATCTCTAGGTAGTCTAGGGGAGTCCAGCCAGGACACCCGGATGGTCCAGGTACAGTTGTTGCACCTTGAAGAGTGCATCGGTTCCGACGTCCGACCCGGGCGACCGCACCGAACACCAGAGATGGGTACAGCTCGCAGCTGTTTTGGTGTTTGGGCCATGTCCCATGTTGCCGTTGGTGTCAATCAGCCTTGATCAACCGTTCCGTTTGACAGCCACACCGCTCGCCGTGTGGACGGAATCGAGTTGGGTATATCAGGCGATCTCCGTTCTCGGCGTCCACCGCGGCTCTCCCAACCGGCAGGCGATCGCCATCGCTGTGACTCCACCGAGCGGAGATTGTCCTGGCCATGATGGCGGAGTTATTGCGTCCTGGCAGGACGAAAGGTGGCTTCATGTGGCTTCGGCAAAAAGAGGTGCGCTCTTGTGAATATCAACATCGGGTGTGGACATAACCTTTTCGTCCACCAACGCACGCCGCTGGACGAATGGCAGACAAGACCAAAAGGACCTATAAGAACTCCACCAAAAGGACCTATTGATCCAGAGGACAACCTTCCATGGACTCAACAGTGGTGATTTGATTTTGCCTCTCGGAGCAACTCCAGAAAGCTTTATTGATCGATCAGTTTGGGATGGACACCCTACCCAGGGATCCGGTTGCCAATTAGGATAGTGATCGTGGGCAAGTAGTGGTTCCATGAAAGAGGTTGTCCATTGACTAACTAGGTTAAGCAGTTCCAGAATGAGAATCACATAATCCCGCAACATCCCAGACATGCCACACATCTGGAAGGCGAAGTAATTCACATGGAAACCCCATGCCGGACTGTCCATTCCCAAAACACACGAGCTCTGAAAACCATCGGCATGTCCAGTGGCATGTTGAAGGCCCCTGGCCCCTGGAGTCGAACACTTCCGAAACACAGAGGGGTCGATGCCAGGTGCCGCAGGTCTGATGGGCTCCTCGGGAATTCCTCGGCTTCCTCATCAAAAAAAACCACTCACGAGGAAGGCGCGCACTGGTCTCTTAGGGCGGCCTTCTGTAGCTTCTGAGTTCCTACTAGTAAGGCACTTGTTACTAGAAGCGATGCACTTGTTCCTTATAGCTTCTTGGTTACGTGTCCACTTTCATGTCTCTTAGAGGAAGGTCTCCAAGTGGCCCACTCCAGCCAACTGAAAAAGACCGGACGATGGCCAACGAAACCTATGGACCTACGGACCTATTTTACACAGCTTAGATTCTTTGGGATTTGCTCACTTGGTTTGGGAGTGTCAGTGGTGCGAAGACGTTCGACAAGATCCCTTCCTCTAGTCTGTGATGTTCTCAAACCTGATGGGGAAAGACGCCATGCAAACAACACACTCAACAATACATATATAATCATATAATATATATATATATATACCAGGACCCTCTAAGGGGTGCCCTGCCTGGAAGCCTATAGGGTAGTGTGGAGTAGTCCAGCCAGGACACCCCTGTCGGGTCGGAGGGTCCTGGTGCACCTGGTATATGTGATGAAATAGCCAGATTGTGGAGAGACCCTTCCTCCCGTAAGCTGCCTTGGCTTCGTTTTGGGGTCGGTCCCTGAATCCCACCCGGTGCCTTGCAGCTTCACACGGCCCAAGGAATTGGAGCGTGGGCCTTGCGGTCGACCCCGGCGCCATTAAGCGACGTCGCACCACAGACCGACCAAGACCAGCACCACCCATTTGGGGTGGTTGGTTCTTTTTAAAAGAGTCAGGAAACATCTGCAAACATCTGCAAACCACTCGAAGCTAAGTTGTTGTTTTTCTGAACCTGTATGCCCAAGAAACATCGAACAATCCACAAGACACGCAAGACATCCTATCCCAGACCATATTTACATAGATTGACCCCTGAGATCAGCCCAATGGATGGTCCAATAATGCGAGTCCAATGGATGGTCTGGGCATTTGCCATCAAAGCAACGGACGTTGGAGCCATCAGACATGATACCGTTGATAGTGCATCTCCGCTGCGCGCGGAGAGCGCGGAGATGCCCTCCAGCCACGCCCTAGACGCGTCGGACACTGAAAAAAGCTCAGTTTACTGAGAAGGACACCATTTTCGAGTTATTTGGACTGTTTGGGCGTGCAAGATGTGCAACAGACTGTGCAACATGCAGCACACGTGTGTGTGTGTGTGTGTGTCGCCCCCTGGTCAAAGGGTTTCCTTTCTTGACCTCCACTGCCATTTGTTTCACTAGCAGGGGGTGCAAGCAGCCCATCCAGTCTTGCACCAACGAAGACACTGGATGCGTGCTGGTGATATCGATTTGGGACGCCAAATCGACGTACCTGCAGAGTTCTTCACACGCTGTTACTCCACTCTTCCACGGTTTGATTCCATGGTCCTTGCACGATAGACCCCAAAACCTTTTCCCACCGCAGACTTGCAGCAGACTTGCAGCCACACTGACTGTCAGAGTGCAAACATTGTTCAACCATACAGTTCTTGCCGACTTTTTCACCATGCCGTTCCATCACCTTCCTTCCCAACGTGGGAATTGAGATACCTGAATACAATTGTCAGAGTGTGTTTCGCTCAGCCGTCCCACTCGGGTGCTGAGTGTAATCCCCGTCATTGGGGCGCTGTTTCTTTGGGAAAGCATTCACTGAACTTACCACCGCTCACAGGAACTTCACTGGAACTCACCTACACTCCCACAGAATCAACCGCTACCATGGCCGCCGGGCCTTACCACGGGACCTGACCGTTTCAACATGCATCGTTTTTGTGCAAGATCTCAATGCATTTTTCCGCCTGTTGTCTGCATGAGCGCTCAAGCGATCCGACTTGACTTTCAAACTTTTTAATTCGATATGCATGAACACACCAACACTTACTACTTGCTGCCGCCGAGCTAGTGAGGCTCTATGTCCAAAAAGGACACAACCACCAAGCCTGCCACCGGTTTTTGAAAAAGCGCTGACGACGGCGACCTGTGTGTGTCGCCCCCTGGTCAAAGGGTTTCCTTTCTTGACCTCCACTGCCATTTGTTTCACTAGCAGGGGGTGCAAGCAGCCCATCCAGTCTTGCACCAACGAAGACACTGGATGCGTGCTGGTGATATCGATTTGGGACGCCAAATCGACGTACCTGCAGAGTTCTTCACACGCTGTTACTCCACTCTTCCACGGTTTGATTCCATGGTCCTTGCACGATAGACCCCAAAACCTTTTCCCACCGCAGACTTGCAGCAGACTTGCAGCCACACTGACTGTCAGAGTGCAAACATTGTTCAACCATACAGTTCTTGCCGACTTTTTTCACCATGCCGTTCCATCACCTTCCTTCCCAACGTGGGAATTGAGATACCTGAATACAATTGTCAGAGTGTGTGTTGTTTTGATGTTTTTTTATTGTTTGTTTTTGTGTGTTAGACCCATCTGATGTGGCAATGTCTTCTGAGGGCACTTTGGAAAGGTTTGTTCTGCCCATCCTTTGGACTCTTTTGGGTGGCAACACAACCAGCACACATGGTGGTAGCTGGACAGGAAAATCTGTAAGGTGCATTTGATGTAGGCAAGTTCACCAAACCATTCCAAAGGATTTCATTCATCCTATTCTCCATCTGGATGGAAACCCCAGAAAGGGAAGGGCTGCTGAGTGGCGCTTGGACTTGTTGTGCAAGGGAGGTCCATATGTTCGCCAGAGTAGCCATCAGGCAAAGCCGCTGATCCCAAACTCCTACCATCATATATGGTTGGGACCCGGCTGAGCATGAAGCACCAGGTGTACATCAACACGGACTTGCTTTGGTGGATGGTGAAAAAACAACATAAAAACAACATACAGTGGCTTCGTAGTGAGTCCACTGATATCGTGTATACTAGATATGTATGCTAGCCATTCCTTCCCAACGGACCCTCGCCGGCATCGCCCATTTTGCAAAAATGCACCCCTTTGGTCCTTTGGTTTCCTCCTCACATAGCGGCCACATCACCCCAACGGCGCGCGAGAGCCATCGTCGCGCAGTGTGCTCCCCACACGGCGCGCGGGTCCCCCGGGCTTCCAATGATGGCAGCCACCGTGCTGCTACTCGAGCACGTGCCCACCGTGTTGAAGCGGTTCCGCCGGAGCTGCAGCGGTTCCGTGGAGGATGAAGGCGGTGTAAGTCGTACGAACCCGGCGGTGCGGGAGGTCAGGTGGAGTTGGCGTGACGAAGAGGTCGTTGGTGACGTTTTGTGTGACGTTGGCTGTGACCATGCCGGACCTTGAAACAAAATAACCACTCGGCGCGATAGTCAGGTTGATAACTCTGTCTAGATGATCTTACTTCAGAAAGGCGTGTAGATGGGGGGTTTGGTTTTTGGGGGCGGTGCTGATATAGCAAAGAGACGTCAGGACTTGGAACATTCAGAATTGAACATACGTGTTAAACACAAAAGGTCAAACGTCAAATATACAAAATCCCCAAGACTCGAGAATTAAACTTAAACATGTACACGTCTGATCTCTGATCTCGGGCCTCTTTGGCCAGTGTTGCATTATGCAGGGCTGAAATTCCATTTCCACACAAGAGGCCGCGCATGAGGCCCCTTCTCCCACCAACACATGACGATTCGCAAAATTTTGCGTGAGCTTACATGAATTTATAAAGCCTTGCAAACAGGAACTGGACCACCTCCGACATTCACCCTGTACCGTCCCGAGTGCCCAAGCAATGTCCGATCTTTTGCTGAGGTAGTTGGTTATCTATGGGGTAAAGTCGAGAAATTCTACATCACACCTGGGGGTACCTTCACTCTTTGCAAACACTGGCGTTCACTCCGTCGCTTCATCGGGACATTTCACCCCCAGCGGGACGGGTCCCGGTCGCCCGTCCGGGCGTACCAAGTCATCTTCCTTTCGCTCGCTGGACCTGGGCGGACGTGTCTTCCTCTCGGTGGGACGTCCAGGTCTCACCACAAATGAGAAGCCCGAAAAGCCGGAATTGAGCTCTGTTGCTGTGATTTGTGTGTGTGCATGTGTTTTAGTTGTTTTGTTTTTAGGGGCAATTGTGATGCATTGTTGAAGCCAGGGTCCGTTTTGATCAACTCTATATTGTTGAAGCCCTATTGGAGGTGGGATTCAGTGGCTCGGCAATTTTAGTCTCTGTTTAACTCGCTGAGAGCTATGTGATGTTCTTCGCCGGAAAACCAACAAACTACTGTAATTACTGAAAAGTATGTGAAATGTGTAGAGGGCACCTGCCCCAGCTGAGCCTTTTACGTGTCCGTGAAAAGGGTTCTGTCTCCTCCAAAAGCCTTTGCAAGAAGCACATGTGTGGCGGCATTTATTTGGTACTAAACTCAAACACACTATCTATTATGTGGGGGCCCTATCTCGTTTAGACTACTTAAGATATCTTAAGATACTGAAGTAGGAGGTCATCTCACAGTATCTCGTTCAGACTACAGTACTACTACCTCGTTCAAACTACTTTATATAGTGTCATCAAGAAAAATATCTCGTTTATGTGGGGGCCCTATCTCGTTCACAAGCGAATATTACTGATGATAGACAAGCAAATAGAGCATGCCGTAGACTACTTTAGTAAAGCCTAAATACATGTGGTTGCTCACATGGCCTTTTGAGGGTCCTTGTCCCTGCAAAGCAGTGGTGGGCAGGTTTTAGCGAAAAAGCCGTGGGCCGATCGGATGTGGGCGGCTTTGGCGAGACTCCCTGGTGAATTCAATTCTCCCAAGTTGGCTCAGCTTATATACTGGGTGAGCCGCACATCTGTGCTGCAAATGTCACTTCAGCGCAGTTGTTGATTCACCAAGAGCTAGTAGGCTTAGTAGCATGATGCAGGTTCCCCTTCTCCATTCAGTCCGTCGCTGAGCAGTGGAGAGTGAAGGGCGCCTTCCCTGTCTCGCTTTCTACAAAGTGTTCATCCACCTGTCTGGATCAAACGCACCAACTTCTGCGTGTGAACTCTCCAACTCATGATCCAGTCTTGCTCTGGACCTCTGAAAGTGTCTGGGATGTATACGACCTGTAGAATGCAAGTTATTTCCCTGCCTTCTGGGTCAGAGGAAGACTTCTGCAAATATACCATGTCCCTTTCACAAATGTCATTGCATCATGCAGCCAATTGCACATGTTCTCCCTTGAAATGAGAGCGGTTTTGTGGCAAACATGACAACGGATTTCCTCTGCTGAACCTTCAGCAAAGTGAGGGCCTCCTCCTACGAGAGATGTAGTCATCCACACCACCTCTTTGTGGAGCTTGGAAGACAGGCCCAACATATCCACCTATACATTGCCAGGCATTGCTGAAAGGTCCATCAAAACCCGCACGTTGGCAAAATAAGTCTTGCGTCGGTATGCCCGGATCATCCCAGATCGCAACTGGAAAGAATGGTACATTTTCCAGCACTGTTTACTTGGAAGTCTCCACAAAAGCAAAACCGGAACTCTGGGGCTCAGTCCTCAAGCCAAAATCCAGTTGTTGCGATCGTCAGCACCCGAAGGGTTTCCCAAGGACAAGCTGAAGAAAAACCAAGCTTGTTCCTTTCCCCAAAAGTGTCCATGACAATGGGATTCTAAATGTACGGGGTTCTTTAGTTCGACGTCTTTTCTCAGAAATCACCTGAAACCATCCTAAGCCTAAAGCCATCAAAAAATGTCCATTCTCCATTCCTCCTCATCTCAAACCCAAAAGTCTAGCCAGTCCTTACAGGTCCTGGTTCTGGTTGAAGCTGGGACCAAAAGCGTGGCCAATGTTTCATCTGTCCAAACCGCCATCTGACGCCTGGCGCCTACCCGCTGTGACACCCGCTACATGCGACGGAGTCCGGAGTCCGAAACATGCGACGCGTTTCGTCACCGAGATCCGCACCACTGAGAAGCCTCTGCCACACAAAAGGAGTGAGGCTTCACCTGGCGTCAACTGACGCGAGCACGTGGACGAAGACGGCACGTTTCGATGAACGTCCAAAAAAGGGTGACCTGGATCGGAGCACGATTCTTAAGCTCCAAGACAAAACAACATCGGAAACCACTGAAATCCCACTAACAAGCTTGCGTGTTCTCTGTAGAAGCTCCAGAAAATATGAGTTTTTGGTTGAGTTCTTTAAGTTATATATATATAGAATACTTAGTGTAGTGTTGGATTGCTGAATTGTATTCATTAGCGCACTGCTGAGCAGGCCTGGTGTTGAGAATTGACTTGGGAATTGAATTCAAGTTTGTTGTCTAACTTCACCTATTTGGGATTTTCGGAGAGTGGTTCTTGGAAGACCACAATCGTTTCAACTCAGCGGCCCACGTTGAGTGGAAACAAAACAAACATCCATGGCTGAAGAGTTCAAACGTTCTTGGGAGCAAGCCTACCACATGGACATCATCAAGGCCTTCCATATGGACACAATCCTTGAAAGGACCAAGCCAAGTGCAAAAAGAAGTGGAACCCGCCCCACGCAGCCCAACGCCCGAGTCGCATCGTACAGCTTCCTTCGGACTTGGTGCGACGCTCCAAAGCGTGAAACGCCGTGAACGAGCTAGCAGCTACCAGCTATTACATGCTGCGGCGAAGCGTTTGCACCTTAGAACTTGTGCCATGAAGCCGTGAATGAGCAGGAGGATCACATTCTAGGCAGCCGAAACTGCAGGTTAACCTCTTCGGACCCGAAGATACCCTACAGCCCCCAGCTCCACTCAGCTTCCCTGCTTTTTCCTGGGCCAACGAAGTGGGAATGGCCAGCTTGTCAGCTTTTCTGGAAGTCTCACGGGTAGAGGAACCACCCTGCCTCAAATCCTGATGGTTCTTCCTTCTTAGTATCCAGGAGTCTGCGAAATCACCTGCACAAATCTTGTCCAAAGGAATTGGGCAAATGATTCCTTTGTTCCTTTGTAGCGTGCAGGATGTGCACTGCCAAGGAAGGTCAAGCTGTTAATCCAAAGCGCAGGTTCCATGCATACCAAAAGACACATTAGAAAGGAAAGCGTCACACCCCCAAAAAGTGCCTCGATGCACTTACCCCAAGGAGTGTGGTAACTGCATTAAAAGCCAATGGGGTAAAGTGAGGATGCTGCATTCTTCAAATCACCTGCGGGAAGACTCGCCTCAAAGTCGAAGTCATGAGGAGACGTTGGAGTAATCTCGCACCTCAATTGGGAGGCCGAAGAAACAGTGACAACAAACATCATTACCCTGTGGATGCGGCAAGAGAAACACAATGCACACCCAGTCTCACCTCCTCGTCAACATGTGGATCATTGACCCATTCCATGTGACAATGCTTGCGAGCAATTTGAGTTGTTTTCAGAAGTGCCACTGTGGCAGCCCATGGGATGAGATGCTTACCTTCTGCAAATCGACGGACTGTTGAGATTGATTGGACTTGTTGAATTTCACGGATGATGGACCGATGCACTCCCCGAATCAATGCGGGAGATGGACTGATGGATGCAAAAAAGTCCTCATGGAAAAACACCTTTCTCGGCCTTAGACAATTCACTTTACTTGCGCACAGTGTCCTCGTGAGCAGGCCCTACAATGGCATATAAAACAGCAGTTTCAGACAATGCCCGTTAAGCAACCCATTGCAAGAAGCTGTTGGCCCAAAAGAATTGAACCTCTTTCCATTCTGAACCAGCCAAGGGCCCGCCGACCCAAGCCATAGATGTTGCCCAAATCCTCAAATAAGGCCTCGAAGCCTGCGGATGCTGAAAGGCGCTTGTTCGATGATGACTATGACAATGGCTGTTGTTGATAGCCTGAATCTAGCAACACCTCCTTATAACCCTGTGGATCCACATACCGCATACCCTCTGAGAGCGTGATTGGAGAATATTGGAGATATACGTTTAACATCGTTTAAACATGTAGGCGCTAGGAGGCTCCAGTCGTGCCTTCGAAATCGAAGGTATGTGGATCCACCCCAGTTGCACCCACACCGTGGTGTCTAAGTGCCCGAGCTCCGACCCGGTCTCCGAAGCGCCTCGGCGAAGCCCGCTCGGCGCCGTTCGTCCGTTTGTGACCCGTTTGGGCTCCTGGCCCATATCCGACCCGGTTCGGTGGCGACTGACCCCCCTGGTACCCACCCACCCCTGGCCCACCTGAACCGACTTCGGATGTGGAGGGTTGGAGCCCACGTTGGGTGAAGTTCTGAAGTGAAACGAATCCTTCAAAGGTGTCTCCACGGAGTCTATACGGTATACTGACTCCCGAGCCGTTTCTCCTGGAACATAGAGGTTGAGCTTGAGACGCTGTGGATTTTTGTATACGAAACCTCATCCAGCCGGTAGAACACCAAGCTTGGAGGGACTTGCAGGTTTAGACTTTGATCCACTGCAGTTTCACCCATGATTACACTATACCAGTAGGTAGACTTCTCCAGCCAGTTCTCGGCTTCTATGTTCATTTCCGGCCTTGGGTTTCTTTGAGGTTCTTGGAAATACACAGGAGAAAGGAGTATTCCTTCATGTTGAGGATCTTGCTTAAATTGCAGCGCTTTACTAAGGGTTTATTAGCCAAAAGAATCAGAGAAATGGGTTGGAATCCACAGACTTTCCAGAGTCCGGATCCTTGTTTGGCGTCCACTTTCTAACAACAAACAATCCGTGTTTTGCAATCTGTTTAAGATGTTTAAGTTTTAGATCTATATACAATATAATATATTAGATTGTATGTCCCCTCTTGTTGGGGGTATCGAGTACGAGTATCTTGTGAGCCTTGATTCGAGGTAAACCTCGAGCAATTGAATGCTTTCAGATTGAGCCTCAGCCGAACGTGGAGCTGGAGCGCTATCAGATCTTTTCCGAGGCTCGCCGTGTCTTCTCCATGTCAAACAGATATGGACTCTACATGTCTTCAAGACATTTTCCACCAGCACTCCACTCTACAGGTCTCTACCTCCAGCACCGCAACGCTCCATCCGGCAATCCTCCCCCCACCAATGCCTCCAATCCAAGGACCCACCGCGGCACAAAGCATTGTTACGCCGAGGCGCCAAAGAGGAAAGTGGAGGAACTGCAGAAAGAGGCCGTCTCGCAGTGTTCCGAAGGCCTTTTTTCAGCAGATTTGGATGTTGCTGATGAATCAACTCGGACCCTCACCAGTTTGGATGAACAGCCAGGAACCCGGAATACCATCCCCCGAATCAGCCAAACCAAGAAACTGAGCGTTTGGAACGGTTTGTGACGCATTCGTTGGTGAACGGTGAGCTGGGTGAGTGAAAGGTGGCTGCAGGGCCCCATGAGTGATCTGGTGAATGAAGTGTGAAAGTTTCAGAAACGATAGAAATGGAATGGGGGTGGGTTTTGGAGAAGGACATGTTCTCTTTTGCAGTGATTTTGTGTATCCAGGTGCGTGATGGAAACCAGTGCCAATGGTACACCCATCCGGGAAACTCAATGCAATGTCTGTCAGGTATGTGGTTCACCATGGAACGCCGCGCATTCAGGAAGTCAAACAAGTCAATGCACTGATGTTCAAAACCCCATGGAACGCTGTGCATCAGCAAGTGATCTTTCGAGTTCATTTTGGAAGGTTCAACCAATAGATCCCAATGGAACGCTGTGCACACAGCTACCTCAAGTAAGACAAGTTTACTCAAGAGAAGATGCAAATCCCCATGGAACGCCGTATGTGAACCCAGAATTGTTCAATAACATAAACCCGCAACATGGAATAGAACACACATCTTACTTCATTTATCTTTTTTGTGAGTCAGACCATTGACCACCAGGATCTGAAGAGGAACGCAAATAAGGTGAGCTTGTTTTACCCCTTCTTCGCCCAAATCTCTTGAGGTCCTTTGCAGAACCTGGTAGCACGATTGGCCTTCCAAGTCTGCAGGAACTGCCTTCTCTTGTCCTTTGTTTTCAACAATCCTGAACCAATCACTTCTTTCCTAAACCAGAGTGAAAGAGGCTGGCCTTTGCAGACCTTAGGACGCAAATGCGACTCAACAAAATAGGCGCAAACGGGTTTTGCACGCCTCATCTGGGATTTTTGGAGCCCAAGCAGAGAGCATCCACTCTACGCAGTCATCCGCAAGATTCAAATCAAACTCCTTCTCTTCACTCGTTTCTTCAGATGAAGAACCGGCACCGGTAGGTGGCTCAGCTGGCGCAACTGCTTCTGCGTCTGGCTTTTTGCTGCTATCTGGCTTCTCTTCGCCATCCTTTCGCGTCTGCTTTCTCCGCAGCAACCTGCACAGCTATCTTTGGACACTAGTTATACAGTGGCAATGAGCAAGGTTTGGCGCTGACCATGCAGCTGTCGTTAAGCATCTGCAGTCATCTCTGAAACAACACAAAGTCACCATTTCCTAGAAAATATGTATTCAATCTTTTGCTCAGCAAGAACGATAACTTATTGCTAGATATGTGTGCCTGGTGTGTGATCCCTATTGCTGCATCATGTGCCTGCTTCTGCCTTGCGCATCAATAGCTCTCGCCGATACCCACTTCGATGTGGATAAAAATCTACGCAAACCCGACTGCGCCACAACATCGATCGCCTATAGAAAATGAATACTGGCAGTCCGTCTGCAACAGCTGCCAGCTCTGAAGCAGCACCGCCTTTTGCATCGTCGAGCTCCATTGCTGCTTCTGCCGGTCCTGTCAGCTCAGGGTGAGATAGGGGAAAGCCAGTGTTACAGTAATGTCAACATACCAAAACTCATATACAGCCCCTGCTCTCTCAGCTTACCAACACTCAAAAACAGTCGCTGCTCTCTCAAAGCTTTGGTCGTCAAGTCTCTCACAGCTTTGATGAGAAAACGGGACGCAATTGCAAGCCGACATCACACACAGAATCCAGAACAGCCCTGCCCACTCTTTGCTTCTCCGGCCACCTCTCTCCAAAAGCATGCGTTTCTATCGGCCCGCCCCACTGTACAATACTGTACATGGCCCTGGAAAACGCAACATCTAGAGGGACTGCGCTTCTGCGCGGCGTCTCTTTGCCTCCGCTCTGTTCTCCTTGCGCCTTCCTGCGCTGCATTTCTTGCAGATCTGCCCCAATCCATCTTTGCGCCAGGGGACTTGAGAACGAGCACAGGAACAGAACCGACATACAGGGTCTTCAACTTGCTTTTTGGTTCCGCTCGGGTTTCTGTTGTGGTCCGATGAAAGCTTCGGCTCTGCCTTTGCACGGGCAGGTTCGAGGATGCCTGCGCGAACTCTACAGGTAGTGCAGCAAGGCGGCAATTTTTTTGCAGCTCTTTGCGGACAGCATTCCATCTGACTGCGTGCGCTTTCAAAAGAGCTTTTCGAGTGGTCATTGCGCGCACTGAAGCGGCGAAGACTCAGAAACCACACCCCAAAAAAGACTTGAAACCACAAATGGCCAAAGACAGGAAAGTTTCACATGTGTGTTGCAGGCATAGAAAAGATAGGTGGGCTCCAAAGAAGTTGCAATGCAGCTGCAGCAAGGAATGGGCAACACAAAGCGGACCACACGAGATGGTCCTGGTACAGCTTGAAACACTTGTGGCTCTGAATGGTCTGGGTCTTCTTCCAGCATCATGGATGGAATGCGCTGGAAACTCCAGTCAGAAACAATGTCCCTGACACCCGCGCAGGCTCTTTGAAATCAGCTAAACCCAAGCCTTTGAGGAACGCACTGATCAAAGTCACGCCACGAACACAATGTCACTGCTCAAAAGGAAGCGACTGACAAAACGTCCTGCAATTTCTTCATCGTATCAGATAATCGGGACGATGACCGCCAGCTGTTCTTCCAACTTAGCGTCAAAGCACTAGTCACTAGACAGTTGGATTGAAACATCCACACAATGTCTCAATCTGCCCCCACCACAAGAAACACACAACACAAAAGCAACATGTGGAGCTACGTTCAGGTTCATGCCGGCAAGTAGCAAGAAGCATGCGTGATGACTTGCTCTGCTACGGCCAGTGGAGGATAGAAGCTCCAAATCCTGATCCCCACAATGAAAGACAGAAAAACCTAGGAAAGCACATGCGACAAAAAAAGAAAGACTCAGAGCATGTTTGACCGAGTCTCGCAATGGGCCACCCAAATCTTCCAGCGAACATTGTGGACAGGAGCATGCATCTTGGCGGAACCTGAGATGCATGAGGAAACCCTGCAGGGGGAAAATGCTCTGCTCGAAAACAACTCTAACAAAAAAATGCCCAGCAGCACCGTACAAACAACACCCATCGCAAGACAAAGTTGATTCAGGCAAGAAACAGCCTCTGATGCTACAGTGAGTCGGAGCACCAAGAGGTGGCGTGGCCATGATCTCTGGCAAAATGCTTCAACTTTTTGAAGTCTTGCTTGGCATTGCATCGAAGAAAGCGCAGGAGTTGAACCCAGCACTGTTGTCTACTTCTAAGTGTCTTGTAAATTGTCATGCCTGGCTGCCTTGCACATGGTTTGTGAGCGGCTCATGCATTGTATGAGGCATTGTTCTTTGGTTGGCTCTCTCACCTCTCTCTCCAAAATCAAGGCTTGTGAACATCTTGCATGAGAGGCCTTGTGCCTTGTAGGGCCGAAAAGCATTTACCCTCAACGAATTCTAGAGGCATCAACTTAGCCAGACCACGATGACCACGAGCACTTGCCAAGTTTGATTTTGCGCACAATGTGAAAACCAATGGTGACAAGACATGTGGCTTGAAAGCGCTTGTGGAAAACGCTTGTAAACAAACAAGCTCATCAAAACATGGTTTGCCAAACACAAAGGCAACGCAACACGCACCGACTTCCAGAACAATTCCTCCGCAAGGAAACGCAAAAAAAACAAAACGCATCGACCTTCCAAGTAGGGAGTATGGGACACGCGGAGCCAGGAGAATGGGCCTATGGGATGGAAGGAGGCCGCAACAAGTTCATTTCCCTACAGGTCCACTGTGACCCAGAAAACCAGGTCCTTGTACCGACCTCATCGAGCAATTAGTGTTATTCCTAAAATCAACTCCAGTAAAACGAAGTGCCCTCCCAACTTTCTAGCGGCAGTTTACACATGGCGACAATAGCAGGAACCGCATGTGAATGCCTTGCGTGGCACTAGCTGTCATGGCGACGTCGCTGTACGTGCAGCCAAAGTCGTTCAGTCGAAAGCTGAATTTTGGTTTCAGCACTGTTGTGCGCAATTTGCATCTGTTGGCAGCAATGCGTCTGCTATAGATGCAAGAAAACAATTGCTTCAGATTGCACGATGTGCGGGACATACGGATATGTGACGTGCATGTGCACATGTGTCGGCCATCAATCGGATGTCGACATCCATGGAGGATGAAGACTCCACGATTCCGGACCTTTGGGGTGGTGGACCACAAAACAGGCACCCAAAAACAGCGCCCAATGTACCCGTTCCGCCTGAAAGTTCCTTTGTGTTCTTTAGGTGCCGATGTACCACCAAAGGGCGGCCGCCAGTCGATTTTCTCTGGTTCCAAGTGCAAGTACTGCAAGCACTGCACACAATCATCGATGGCCCAGTCCACCTGCACGCATGTTTCACGATCAAGCTGCAATAGTACCTTGGCCTGGACATCAGCCAATTGAAATGGCATGGGTCCAACTCACGCACCATCACAAGGTAAAAGTCCGTGGGCGCATGTGCAGGTAAACGTGTCGGCGTAGTGTGATATTGTTTATGGCAGGCAGTACATACAGCATTAAGCCGAAAACACATGACCACTGAGCTTCTGAAGGGTTGGCACAGTGCGGACCGGCATGTTGCCTGCAAACCGCGTGAACAAGTACCACGTCCATTTTGCGATAATTTCAGGCAAGTCGAGTCTGCCGTATGCCAGTGACGCACTCGAGCAGCTCATGTTGAAAGGTGTTTATGTGGTTTTCTGCTGCCAACTTGGTCCACCTCGGAATCTGACCAAGTCGAGCGGACTCGACAGCACTTGAGCTGACATCTCCGACCCAAGCGCCACCAACTCTCAGCGGATTCCCCTTCGAAGCGATGGCCCAAAACTCGAAGAAAGGATGGCCGCCTTTGGCGGTCAAGGAGTGCAGTGCGTCATGACACGCAGCAGGTGCGATGGGTGTTGGCGAGTCACAGGACTAGCATGATCTAGATGCGTCGCGCGTGCCAAGCCGCATGTGCAGCAGCAAAAGGCAACGATAGAGCTGCTGCAAGCGGCTTTCACCACATCTTGCAAGTACCAATGCCTGGGGGGTTGCCAAGCCCCGCACCCATGAGGCCCTAGACATCAAACTGGTTGAAAAGTGACAAGCGATGGTGTGGTGCTGTGAGCCCGGCGAACTGGACGTTATACTATGGCGCGAAGGATCTTGAGCAACGGCTCTTCCAAACGTCTCGCGTCTGGCTACAAAACCCTCATTAGGTTGCGGACCATGACCTTGTTGTCCTTGGGCGGAAATCAGTCTGAAACGCATCCCTGACTTGGTGTTGGCACAAGCATCAATATATTGTGCCTAGGCGACGGATCCGGGGTCTAAGATCACAGTATGAAGACAACTTACACAAACGGTGGCCCTTCGGCATCAAGCAGCATGGCTTGCTGCTCTGCCCACGCCTGTTTGCCAAATTGAAGAAGAATGGCACCACTTCGTTTCAACTTAAAGTGGCATTGCCATCGCTGTGGGTTTTTGCATCAAAGACCTACATTTCGCACGTAGCGCCACCTCCCTGGAAAAATGTTCCCCAGGATCGGCTGCATATACAGGAACCTGTACCAACCAGGGACATTCAAACAAGTCCCACATCCATTCAAAATCTTCCGGGACGCCGTTGGGTATGTCCTCTGCAATTGGAACCTTTGGCGTAAATACGCTTTGAAGAAAGGTTCAGCAGCATAGCACCTGAGTGGCTGTACGACAACGCCTGTTGCTCCGGGTGGCACATACAGCAACTCCAGCCTGCAGTGCGCAGCAGTTTCCATCACTCCTTGCGTGACGTGGGATGCTACGCAGTCTAACATGAGGACTGGCCGGTATTCACCCACAATTGTTCGCGTAGATCGTGCAATAAGGTGGAAGTTACTCACGACGACTTCTGCCTCAACAAACGCAATTGGCTGTTCCCCAAGACTGCAGTTCCGCTTTGGCCCGGGCACCGCTCTCACGACGCACTGGTGGACCACCCAATGCGAGAGTAGACTGGATACCACATGGCAAATCAGCCGTAAAGAACTGAAGGCACCTCGTTGGACTTCTTCGGAGACCCGGGCCCGGGCATATCCGGTGAGATCTAGCGATGATGCCGACGGCTGGAGCAAAACCCGACTGTGATGTCTCATCATAGTTCAACAGCAGCAGCTTTTTTGGGTGGGAACTTGTGGCGGAAATAAGCACAAGTTTGCAGAAACGAGGTGGCGGAAAAAGAAGAGGTCCTTTTCTTATGGCCTCCTCCAAAGATCTTGAAACACCAAATGGCTCTGTAGCCAGTGATGGCTGCTGGCGCTGCTGCGATCTGGATCTGGATCGAGCTGGGAAATCCTCTGCTGTTAAGAGGTCATACCAAACAGACTTATGTTCCGAAGAGTCTGGAGATGGACTCTCAGGATTTGGATTTGACAGTCGTCGTCTCCTCGAGAGCAGCCTGAGCAAATACATGAAGGGTCTGGCCTCCCATCACGCCCTGTGGATGCAGCTTCTGTGGGTGCAAATGGCACAGCATTGGAAGCACCATCACGCCCTGTGGATGCACCATCCATGGGCACAAATGGTGCAGAATTCGGACCACAAACGATTGAAGCGCCCATACGGAACGATGCAGCTAGCAAAGCCATCTGCCGTTGAACGTCAAAAGGCAAGCGTCCCTAGGCACCTGTTGGCAAATCCGCTTCTGACACACGGGATCCGTTTGCATGTCTAGGAGGTCTGAGGTCTTGCATCTTGGCTTCACGAAAGAGTTGGTGCACCAAAGGTTCATTAATTTGGAGACTCCGGGGCACCCTGAGGCAAAGTGGACAGTTTAAAGAAGCGATGGCCTTCATCTTTTTTTGTGCAATTCTGTTTGTTCGTCTTTGGCGGTAAACATTGCAAGGCTGTGTCGTATTACATATATTGTAAGAAGGGAGTGCACCGGACAGCTTCATTCCGTATTGGCAATGGTTACGTTGCGCTTACCTCTGCGCTTGGACAAAAGGGCCAAGGAAAGACAAGGCCACCTTGCGTGAAATGCTTGTGCTTCCTTTGGAAAGGCAATTTGCAGGTCAGAACTGCAAGTGCGGGGGCTATGGAAGTACACACTACTTACCCTTCTTACTCCCTCTATTCAATTCATTGAAACACGAAGGACTTTGTAGGACTGGCAAAACCAATGCAATCACCTGGAGCACAAACACGCACAGTATAGTAATGAAACACCCGCTGCTTCCTGAAAACTGGGAAACGCTGGCAAAAACACCCGAACTTCTCTCCCTCCACTGCCACCTCTGAACTCTGCTGCCCAGCTGCAAGTTCCAAGCCTCCTCACCAGCCACCGACGGATCCTGTCGCTTGGTACCTGGGCGTTGGTGGGGACATCCGATGGACTCCATGGGCATTGGACTCAATGTAGGTGTCAATGAGCAGTACACTTTGACCCACCGGCATAGAAGTGGATGGCCCAGGTCCCGGGAAGACCGTTTGGCTCTATGCACAGTGGCTGCCCATCAGGTGCCATCCACGTCCATGTTAGTTGAGTGTAAACCTGCCGGGTTCTTTGAAGTAAAACCTTACCTTGACATCATGCTTGGTTTGGTCACCAAGAGACCTGTAAAATCTATAAAAGGGTCAAACAATTATATAGGGCAAAAAGTTCGGTCAGAAACTGAAGAGTTCCTGGTGTCCCACACACACATTTTGCTATCAAATCAACTTAGCTGTCCTGATGTACTACCAAATGATATCACATGTCAAATCAATGGTTTTTGTGACCGCCTTTTGACGTCAACTTTGAAAAGGTCGTTCTTTCGCTGGACATGTCCAGCTTCCTATTCTCACCACCGACCATCCCTCTCAAAACCTTCTCGGTTGGACGATCCCAAGTTGTGGGGATGGGATGAAGTCGTCCCTCCAGCTGAACATTGAGGATCGAAACCTGGAACCCACACCCTCAAGGGGTACTAATGGACATCGTGTCCGCGAGAGGGCTCCCCATGTGCTACGACCGTGAAAAGCGCAGCAAACAAAATCCGCATAATCCGCATTCCAGGAGTGCAAACACAATAGCTCCTTAGTTCGCTTGAAAAACATGTTCTGTTCATCTCCAATCTTTTGATTAACAACATTCAGTGTTTCTCACGTCTAGCCTTCTAGACTAACAAATTGAGTGATGATTGAGTTTCTCTCGTGCCACACGGAGTCTGGTGCTGCTTTCGCGGATCACGAGCGGATGGCCCCCCGTCCGCGCCTTTGGGCGTGATATCACCCAAAGGCTCCTGAAGCAGCTGGCGTGTATTCGGAAGACCTCACAAGGACCCTGGGAAGTGCCAACAATGGCGCAAACTCAAAATTGCACAAGGTGTTATTTATGATACATTAATCCTGATGATTTAGTGCCTAAAAGTACATTACCTGGACCCTCGAAAGAACAATACCTTAGAAATGTCTCGAACGTGCATTGCCCAATAAAACCACCCAATGTAGACACACATAGCATGGAGTGTCTGGGTTTGAGACTTTGAGCCGGCAAGTGATTCCCACTCCCCGGCCACCCAGTCTTCTTTAATGAGTCGGGCGCCCCATGACTCAGCAACTTGGAAGTGGACATCTGACACCTGAAAGATTCTGTCAGGTTCTTTGGCCACATGACTTTGATCCAAAACTAGGCCTCTGGTCTTGAAAAAGGTGTAGGCATCAAGCGTCCGTACGGACGCTGCCGGTACAAACCAGGCTCTCAACACCTCCACCTCGACCACCTCGACGGTGAAATCCGAACTCGGAGTGGTGAGAGTGCGGACCGGACCCCAAACCTGCTTCCTCCCCACCCCGAACCACCCGTGTCGGGGAATTGGTCCGTTGAGACGTGCGGAGCGTCCTTTGGGTGATATCTTTGGATTGCACACATGTCCAAGTTTGGTGGTTTACATATGGTTTATATGGACAGGTGGATGTCCCCATCCAAAGTCATCTTAATTGTTATGCCATCTGCTCTGAAATCACTGTAAAGGTCGAGATTGGATGGACTCCCCCCAAAAAAACGTTGCTGGAAGGGGAAAGCTTCTTTTCATGTCTTCAATCCAACTCAAGTCCACCATCCCAAAAGATGTTCTGGCCCTCAGGCATGAGAATTGGTTTGGTTGGAGTGGGGCACCTGATTATCTTTTGCACTCTTTTGCCTTTTTTTCGGTCTATTCTATTCACCCTTGGCTCTCCAGCTGTGCAAACTTCCCGGCCTGGGACAAACCTCCCAGCAATTCGTCGAACGTCCGCCGATCCAACTCTTCATGACCTCAGCGCTCTTCGTCCCTTCGTCTGATCGAAAAGGTTCAAACGGTGGAACCGGACGCAGTCCACCGGGATTTTTGTGGGGTGTCCCACAAAAAGCCTCAAGCATGAAAGCAGGTGAATGCACGTACTTCCTGGGTGAGAAACTCCATTTGATACCGGCTATACTATGAGCCATCCAAGGTATGCCTCTTTCAGTAGTCGTGGGTAGTTCGGACGGACGGCATCCGTCCTGGTAGAGAAAAAAACAAGACCCTTCTGAGAGATTGGAGAGGCCAGGACCTTCAAAGTGACCTACAGACATCTACAGACTCCAAAGAGGTCACTTTGAAGGTCCTGGGAGAGGGATGTGTTGTCGGTCAGTTTGGAGTTGGAATCTCCCAACCGACCCTTCGGCCACGTGAAGCCGTCGAGATGGGTCAGTCCACCCGACCAGTCCGTCGGAGCGTCGGCTGGTCAACCGGTCGGTCCAGTGCCATGACCCACAGCCCAGCCCATGGGAGTGGTTCAAAACGAGCTCCAAACCCTGGTTGACCTTCCTGGTAATATGTAATCTATTCTGTTCATGTTTGGTGGTCAACCAGGGTCCCCTTGTTTTGACAACTGCCATGTGGATCCCTAAGGCCAAAGACTTAGCAAAGCGTTCAGTTGCACCAGGCAAGCAGGATAAAGCTGGAACGTCGGGCATCACTTTCCCAGTAGTCCCACTGACACTGAGTTTAAAGTGTATTGAAAAGGGAGACCAACCAAACGGGTTGGCATGTGTTCCTTCTACTTTCACGGGGTCTTTGTGAGGTCTCCCAATTATAATGCAAATGTTTGTGTTTCCCAAAAGAATGTTGAAAACTTGAGAAGTGACGATCGATTCAACAGCACAAGAGGGGTGTTTTGAAGTTATGATTTTGTTCTTGCCTTCTTCCACGGGTGTTCCTCTGGCATGAACCCCCGCCAAAAATGACACGTGTTTGTTATTTTTCCTGTGTGATGTTTTCAGGACTTAGTGAATTATCGCTGTAGAACTTTGCACTTGAAGGCTGCGCTGCCGAAGAATTTTCTCTGGCCCTCTCCGGAGAAATAAGCACCCGTAGCAATTTTCCTGGCATGCTTCACGGCCACCACCTTTTTTGTACCTTCAACGAATGCAGCTGGGCTGCGCTGAGTGTCAGCGATGTCCAGCCAATTCCAAGATGCAAGCACAGCTGCATGCTATGCATCCACACTCCGCGTGTTGTGGAAGGCAATCGTGGCAATAAGCCAAGGCACTTGCTCACCTACTGGCAGCAAACCTGCACCTGCGCCTCTTGACGGAGTTGGTGATACAACCTGCACCTCTTGAAGGAGTTGGTGATACAACCTCGCGATCATCTTGTACTGCTTGATCCTCTCCCCGTCAATACGAGTACATGGTAGCACTCTGCTCATGGTCGTAGAAGTCAAGCGTCAAATTTCATCATATCGGGTCAGGCTGATTCGGACCTCCGGGGTTTGTTTGCTATTCATGACATGTCTTGAAACCCATCTCCAATTAGGTGCAGCAGTTCAACACCGCCAGGCAAGTTTTCTGAGGTCACACAACTCACGTGAATGACTCCAATAATGTACACTCAACTATGACTTACCAGAAAACCACAGGTCTTCATGGTCACATGTGTAGTTGTCGGACCTCAACCCTGGCACTTCTCTTGCTCAAAAGCCACACACACTCAGCCATCTCGAAACCAAACTCCCATTCTCCGTTCACTGTGATCAGTTGATCTCAGACCTTCACGATACGCCCAAGTCCACGTTGCCCCAGCCACCCCAAACCACCGACTCTGAGGATCAGGATCATCACCTGCTCCACCGGTCGGTCAGCGTCGCCGTCTCCAGGCGCTCCGGACCGTGGATGGCCTCGATGGCGCGCTTGGCCGCACGGGCGGCAGCCTCGCCGCCCAACCACCTAGACCGATGGCGGGAGAACGCGGTAGCGGAGCAAGCGGTTAGCGGTAGCCGTGGACATGGACTTTGTGGGAAAGCAACTTCAGAGCTGGTTGGGCTCCAAACAACCGTGCTCGAAAAAATGCTTTCAAGGTCGTGCTCTCGAAGGTGCCGTCGTTTAGTCAGTGGTGAGAAAAAAAAAACATCATTAACAAAATAACAAACGCTGCTCGAGCAACCGGTCGAAGGGCCGGATGTGGAGAGATCCAGTGCTACATCGGTACCTTCTGGATCGAAGTTATATACCGGTACGTAAGTGGACCGTCCGTTCCGACCTTCTTAAATGGGTAATCCAACCCAAGGAGAATGAAGGTTCAAAGACTTAAGAAGCACACATTAGATGATGAGGAAGGAAAGAAAAACAAGTCCGGACAATATTAACGTTAAACAGTGCCGAGTATTGCTTCAAAGTTCTTTCCACAGGTGAACACGACAATGTCAACACTCTTTTGCATTCCTCTTGATGACCAGAATCGGGTGATATTTACAACACTCCAATATCCCAAACACTCCGTGGAGGTATCTAATCTATGGCTGACATTTAGATACATTTACGAGTACTGTAGTTTTTATGTTTTTTCTAATCAATATTCTGTCCAGGCCAGTAAACAATGCTCCCATCAAATCCATTCCTTTGTGGTTCATGATCAAAAGCAACCACAAAAACACACAAAAAGGAAGAGAGGTCCCCGGTCCCCAACAGGAACAAACTTCCGATTCTGTAGATCCCGCATGTTCAGCACTTTCGTTGAGTCTTAAACCAACAACTGAACGGTAAACTCTATTGGGCCTCATCAGAAACTTGGTCAATAAGATTCCCAACTGAACAGGGTTGCAAAAGGACCACAAATGCAATATTGGTATTTTCGTAGGGTAGACTGGTCTAGTTCCCAAACCTTCCAGGGGGTCTTTCACTGGGAGGTCTCCCTATACTTAAGACACACCTGCATAATATACAATGCAAATACATTCCCAATTCCATCCTTCTTTTTCTTATGTTTCGACGTGCCCCGCCTCGGGCCCATCTGGATCCGATCCAGCTCCACCTCAACATTGTGATGGAACACTGCCCAAAACCTACAAGTCCAGTCTGATCCAAGTCCAAACTTTGAGTAGTTTTTGTTGTGTGACCAACTCCAGGTCCAAACGAGGTCAGTTCCTGACCTGGTCTGGGCATGGGGCCGCGTTGGTTTGGTCAACTCACCTCCGTTCGGGTTGGAGATCCATCTCTTCCATACCATGTTGAAAACCAATCCTCTACTGGCCCCTACTTGTACTAGTATATATGGATTTTTATGAAACACCTCGTTCCATTCACACAGACGGTCTGTTCCATGCAGGACAGGTCTGCAGGCAAGATTGTTAAGGATATCGTCAAACATCAGAACATCGTTTGCAACAACACAGTCATGAAGAAGAGGGCCTCCCATGGCCTCTCTATCGGCTGATGGGCCTCTAACGCCTGTCTTTTCCGAAGACTTCAGAACGCGTCATGATCCCAAACCCAAAAATTTCCTCCATGAAACTGACGAAATGTAAACAAAACTTTTGAATCACCCCTAACTGATCGGATATGTGCAAAAACAAAATTATACCCCAAACACTGCATGGGACTGGGACTGCCATATTTACAAACATTGGCATGGTTCCAGGGGTCAATGTAAGCATATCCAGTCCCATGGAGTGTCTGGGTATAATTGTTGGCCGCCCTATCAGGTCATTACATGCAACTTTTAAGTCTGCAAAACCCTCCAGCTAGTTGAATCTTATGGATCATGTTTGTGAGGTAATCCCATGGTGATGTTGCATTAGATCCCCCAATATACATTATATGTAGTATTTCAAAAGAGGTCCGAAACTAGTGTAGTCTACTGGTTGACACGTAGGGATGATTTCTATGGATCCATGACCCCCCTCCAACCGGTCGATCGAACTCTGGGCATTCCGCACCACCCATCCCGGTCGTTCGCGACTGGCGCGTAAGAAACGGGTTCGACCGATCAGGCGAATGAAACAAAGCGACTCCTTTACTTGCTCACAAAATGCATTTATGTTTTTCCTGAACCCGACTTGAACTAACCTTGAGCATGGGACATGAACCTACTCGTCCGCATCCCTTAATGCACGCCGGCGCGTGCTGAATTCATTCCTATACGCATGGTGACGTGGAGCACAGTCGTGATGCCATGAGCCTTCGAGCTCAGGAAATGTGCACTTCCGTGCGATTTTTCTCTGCGCTCTGCAACTCATGATGGTCTAGAGCATGGCTGCAGGATACTCGATGTGCAATCCGGGTCGCGGTTCACACCGGCCACTCAGCCATTCAGCCACTCAAGACCTTGAGTGGCTGAGTGGCTGTGGTGCAGAATGAGTGCCTGAGTGGCTGAATGGTATCTCAGCCTCTTTCTTGTGCTCGCGCTTTTTTCTTTGTCAAGGGTGACCTACTCGGTTCATGGGCTTGGCACTCACGACCTTCGGCGCGCAGCAATCCTGCCGCTTGCAGTTGCTCATCACTCATCCTGACATGAAATGGTACTTCTTGGCGCAGGGCATGTTGTTTGCCCCATCACTTGCCAGGTCCGTTTCTCATTGCCCATACAATGAAGTTTCCTCATGCTGAGAAGATCGTGAGGCCATCTCACTTTCCAGAAGGTTGATTGAAGGTTGCAGATACTGAGGAAACTTTGTGATTTCATGTTTGACTCCTTTGCGTTTTGGACTCTACTGCTTTGTGAGTTCATGAAGGGACTGGTGAGAGAAAGACCTCGTGACTGGTGCTTGGCGCAAGGACATGACTGGCATGAGACTTGCCGGAGCTAAGACCAGACCCGACATCGTGGTACTTGAAGATTTGGCATTCGCACTTGGCTCACTTGTGTCGTGGTGCAAACAGCTCTGGTGTGGTGGAACAGCATGGTGCGAGTCTTCTTGAACCTAGAAGATCTAGAAGGGCTATTGTTGAAAGCATTTCGACCCAGTGGGCATGTTTTCCAGGGCTGCATTGCACCTAACTTCTGCTTCCAGATGCTTCCAGAAATCTGCTGTTGCACGTTGCTTGGCTTGACGAGAAGCAATTGTTGGGTCAAGTATCCATCATTGGGCTCACGCAAGGTCACTTAAGAAGAAACCCGCACACATGCAAACTAATCTTCATCGCTGTTGTCTTTCGAACTATGTGTGTCTTTTGAACCATGTTCAAAAAACTTGCCTTTTCAGGAAAGCTTCTACACGTGCGTTTGGCGGGTCGAGGACCGTCGCCGGAGGGATTCTGCGACCGGTGAAAAAGAGGGTGACAAAGGGTTTTTAAGCAATTTTTTCGATTGAGAGTCTCATTGGAGAGGCTGCCATGAAGAAAGATGAACCCTGAGAAATCCGTTTCCTTCAGAGGCTTGTTTGCTGTGCCCTGCGGCAGGTAGCAGATCCCCAAATGACACAATGTTTCCATTTCCGTGCCTTTGGGACATGCCAAGACTGGACATACATTTCCATGGTTGCCCAAGCTGGCGTGCACTCTTCCAATGCAAGCAAGAAATACAAAAGTGCAACCGGCCCTGTCCCCTGCATATGCCGTGCATGTAGTCATGGCAGAACTTGACTTGGCATGGCTACTAGCTGTGTTTGGCCAATAAATCTGTGTCTAGCAGCAAGGCCTTGGGAGTCCATCTCCATCCTGTCGCTTGTTCCCACATCTGGAATTCCTGCTTGGTACAAGTAGCAAGTAGCTCTCTTCATGGACAAAATGCAATAAGATTGGAGCACCTGGTCATCTGTGGTCCATATGAGCTGATTGTATTTCTGGATGTTGCAATGCTGATTTTATTCAGGTGCGAGTAGCCCTGATGTTGTCACAAAGAAAGCACAATTTGGCTCCACTGTCACGTTTGGACCCCCAAGCTGGCTTTTGAGCTGCTCCATCAGCCAACAGCATGGAAGCGACACTTCCTTCAAGGTTGGCCACCAAGGCTTCTTGCAATGGCCAATGTGAGCCATGCATCAGAATAGCACTGCTGGTTAGAGAGCTGGGCAAAGTTGGGATAGAATGCGCAGCTGTTTCTTTCAGCTCGGCCCAGGGCATTTTCTGGCACCAATGCATCCAAATACAAAAGGGTTGACCATATTTTGGATGGGCTGGACGGATTCAGTGACTGCTTGAATACCATGCAACTGTTGTTGAATTCTCGTGCAAGCAGAAGCCGAGCATGAAACGTGCGTGAAGAAGCGGCGAGAAGGTCCCGAATAAAAAACAGAATACATTAAGCCCTGAAAACCACTGGGTTGTAGAGGAAAATCAGGTTCCATGTTCATCTTTCCGGGTGTAGCAAGCCGTGAAGTAACTTGGATCAACAATTTGTAAACATCTGTTGAATTTGGGCAAGCCAGCAAGTCAAGGCAGCAAATCTGCATGAAGCTCAAGTCAGGTGTGTTTTTGGGGTCTGCTTGCGTGGAGCCGGAAGAGAACGAAAAGGCGGTTCACGCAGTCGGAAGTGAATCATAGCCCAGTAAACCATCTGTCAGGTGAACCATGTCACTTTTCACAAGGTTCAAGATCCACTTTGGTCTCACCGTATTGAAACGCAATACCAACAATAGATCATAATAGCATTGTCGAGGCTCACCTTGTTCAACTTAGAAGTAAACCAATTGAAGAGGGATATAGGCTCAAGCAGTTGCTGGAGAGGGTTCACACTCAACCCCGAGTGAACATGCGACTATGCAGAATCCTTTGCCTTTGAGTCTCCCAGTATTTGTTGGTAGATATAGGGACTCTTATCCACACAACTTGACCTCTTTTTGATCGGTCCTCGCTCATCTATGGGACTTAAATCAGGTATCCATCAATGATTAACTATGTACACGTCACATTGGGGTCATAATGTATATATGTATTCTCTGACTCACTAACATGGAAGTGGAACATGGTCCCTTGGAAGACTGTCCTTTCCTTTACGAATCGGGGCATCATCCTACCCGGTCCTGTCCAAAGTGATGTGTTCGTCAAAGTGGAGCGACTGCATGCGACTGGAACATCCGAACGCACCTCGAATCCTGCATTGATCCATTCGAAGCCTCACGCAAACGTCTGAATGGGAATCATGGCGTCAGAAGCATGAGAGCTTTCAATCATTCCGCAATAAGTAAGGAACAAATATTCCTAAGCATTTCTCCTCCCACCAACATTGGGATGATCATCGCCATGAAATGGGCGAAGTTGGAAATTGCCAGTTGTGTACGAGGGAATCACCACCATCCAGCCATCCAAATGTATCGACTCCAGGAGTCTTTGATATTCAGGTAGCTCAAGCTCTTCCATCTTAGAAATGGTCAAACATCTCAAAACAAACAATTCCATCCTCAGCAGATTACCCTCGTCATAACTGGATCCACTGGGGTCGATTTACGTCACCTACGGTTGACTATTCATCTGTCCATGCCCACAAAACAGCAACCCCCAGCAACACAGGTGGAGAGGATCCATCGTGGAAAGGCACGACTAACATTCTTGGCGATTGTACCCGGACCGTCCATGGATGGAGGAATTACATACGTTTACCATCATTTAGACCTAAATGTGCGTAACTATTCCATACATGGATTGTCTGGGGTAGATCTTGGCATGTGACTGAACATGTCAGCTGGAAGGGAGACAGCCAAATTATTGTCCTGCGTGCAATAAAATCTGCGCATGCGGCAGAAAACACTGTGTGCCGCGTGTGAAGAGAAACATGCGCCACTCAGCATTTTCGAGGATTCTGCCCCGTGTTCGGCGCAGTGGCCCGTTGGGAGCATGAATGGGATTGAAAATATGTATGTCAGTGGGTTCAAATATAGTAAAGGGTGAAAACCACATACCCCTCTGCAGATCAAAAAGGAACCACAAAACAGATAAATGGTTTTCCACTAGTCAATTCTCAGGGTTCATGTTAGTCTGGGGGGGTAGCGAGAATGGTTGGACATATAAATATCTGAAACCGTCACCCAAGTGTGGATTCGCTACTCAGTTCTCCACTCGACTCACCTCACCCTTTCCAGCTTTCCTGCGATCGAAGGAAGCGGAACAGTCGACGGCGGGCCGCGCTGCGCTGACAGTTTTCATGATTTGCCGGGAGGCCCTGCAATAGGCCAGTAATCGGCCGTAAAATGCCGAATCAGGTGTTGTTGCCAGGGTCTTGCCGTTCTGCCGTTGGTTGGTCACCACCCCCTATCCATGGCCACTCTCTGAGAGGGTGATTACTTTTTTCAACTTTACTATTTTCCTTCATTGCCCCCAGGTAGCGCGACACAGCCGACACAAAGTTGAGACATTCAGCCGTGCCGCGCAACCAACTATGTGCTTCAAACCAAAACTACAGGGGAAAACCGAAAACCGTCACCCAACACGGACGCAACAAAATGCAAAGCAGAGTGTCCCTGGGGCCGCTTCACAAGCAAACTCATCATACAAACTTTTGCAGCGCGCCAAACATCGGGTCGAATGGTTTCAACAAAATGGAACGTATAAGATATAGACATTAGCCAGAGATAAATACAACATACTTGGAAATAGGCAAAAACACATAGAACATGAATGAACATGACTGTACATATCAATTAGCTAACACTTGGCTAAACAATAAGTAGAAATTAGCTAGGAATAATAAGTATAAGTAGAAATTACACAGAAATAGCTAGGGCCTAGTACCTCAGAAGTTAGGAGGTGAACTTATAGAACTCATAAAATGACTGAAAGACTTATAGAACTTTAAAGTTACTTGTCACAGCTCAGCTAGCCTCAAGTACCAAGTAGTCACGAAGTAGGGGATGAACACTCAGGTCGGGAACATAAGCATCACACGAAAACCGGAAGACCGGAACAGTCATGTTTGGGGTCTTTGACTCAGAATTGGTCGAACCATCGCCACCAATGATTGTTTTTTGCGCGTTTAAAACACAGATGTAGACATCCCGGATGGTTCCAAAGACTTCCGTTTCAGTTTGGTGTGTGTTATGAGTGCCAGGAGGGTCTGACTGTAACATGGAAGTGGAAAACCACTGATTCTTCTTGAGGGAGTGTACCTTCAGAGAAAAAACATATTGAACCCCAGGGTATCAAAGTGGATCAAACAATCCTATAGAAACGCCGCCCCACCACACCAAGCGAGCCAAAAGGTGTCCGTTCCGCATCCAACCACTTGTACTTTTGCGATGTGAAACCGTGAACCCTTCTCGATGTACCAATTCCCCGCCACCATCATGCGCCTGGACCATCCAATTGGTGTCCACTGGACTACACTAGACCTAAGCATCCTCTGATCAACTTCATCATTCAAGGCTTGTTACAGGAATATCCCCGAAATCGCTTGTTTCTTGACCTGTACCCTTGCAGCTCGAATATTTCATGCCCAGGTTGCCTGCATCAAAGTCCAAACAAACATCTTAACCTCCTTCTCATGAGGTAGATAGTTGGCACCCAGGTTGTCTTCGGTGCACCAGTGTTGCAATGGCGAAAATGGTCGTGCGGCTCCTGGTATGAACGAGCGACCTGGGGCGAGAAGACGGTAGCACTGGTGGCACTGGTCCCGGAAAATGAGGAACAAACCCTCCCAACCAGTTCCCATTCCACTGGGGTATGGCTCTGGTTCTTGCGAAAACGATTGGAATGAATCCTCCCAGGTTGTCTGTGGGAGTCCAGCAGTGAAAAACGGGACAGGGGTGGTTTTTAGTCCCGAAGTGAGTGGATGTTCAGGGCACCATTGGGCGCCCCTACTTACCTTCCAAATCCTTCCAATAACCCCATTGAAACTCCTGGATGTTTCTTTTGTCATGACTCTTGACATCCATTGATGTTATGATGTTATGGACTCTGTCTCGGCATGTCACCTCGTCCTCCAAAAACAATTTACAGGAAACCGTGGAAACTACCCGTGAAACCTTGGCTGCAGGCTCTTGCGAGTCCAGTCTGGTTTGTGCTCAAACTGCTCACTCATAGACCGACCTCGATTGAACATCCATCCCCTCGATTGTTCCTTCCTCCCCAACCACCCATTGAGCCATCATGGATCCAGTGCACCCTTGAGTGTGAGAGGCTGTCTGGAAGATCATGGTATCGACACATCCAGGTCAAACAACAATCAACACCAAACCAAAAGCCAACAAACAACCCAAAAAGCACAACAACCAACAAACAACAACCAACAATAACAACAAAACAACCCACAACAAACACAAAACAGCCAACAAAAAGTCCACTGCCCAGTCCGACGCGTTCGGTTTGACTTTCTGTGGACGGCGCCCGAAGACCGAGGCTGCGGTGGACACGGACTCCACCATGCGCCCAGCCTGGCGGCGAAGCCGAGCCCACCGGTGTTGCGGTCCGTGGCGACGCGGTGTGCCACGGTACGTGGCGAGAGATGAATTCTCTGACTATTATGTAAATGATACTTTTATTAGGTACATGTTGTTTCTTTCATGTTGTTTTTCACTGTTTGTCATATGCCTCAATTATATAGTCCATTGCAGTGGCACGTCTGGGTGCCTTTCACCACATGAGCTCGGGCATGGCAGGTCTACCCCAACGGTGCTGACGGAGACGAGACGGAGACGAGACGGAGGCAACGGCCGTGTCTGGGTGAAGCAGGACGCGACACGTACCAGCGAGGATACAAAGAAACATAGACAGAGATTACAACCACCACTACCATACTGAAAGGAGTATGATGCCACCCTTGTGATACAAATAGATATGACAAGGCAGTGTGTGATTTACCACATTCCAGGGAGATGTTGATGCTGACAAGATATGTATATGGTAATTTTTTGCCAGGACCCTCCTGTCCAGGCTGGTTTGAGACCCGATCACAGATGGTGACAATGACTCAACGGACGGACCCAGTCAATTCCGGATCTTTTCAGGGTTCAGATAGCGCAGATAGCCAAAGGCTCCTAAGCTCAAGAGCTAGCTAGTTGCGATACAAACCCATGAGACCAAGGCTAGCTTGCAAACCGCTATAAACGACACGCAAACCATACACCCCGACAAAGACATAAACCAAGAAATGAAATGGACACATGCTAAAAACCCAACATTGGTTAGCCATGATACCAACTGTTTGTTTCTTGCATGCTGTTCAAGTGTAGGTAGGCAGGTGACGGTAGGTGGTTTCCTATTGTCCTTTTCTTGTGTGGTAGGTGGTTCTCTTTGAGAATTGTCATAGCAGTGTCTCTTCTTTGATGACGGCTGAGCACTGGCAGTGGAACTCACACCAAAGCCCACAGCCAGCTGCGGGAGAATCAGCTCTCAGTGTTAGGAGATGGAACGTCAAAGAACATTGTAAGAGATCCACAAGGCAAAAAATGACAAGAAGTTGTAGAACCTGAGTCGTGTCCTATCCAGCAGCAAAGACTTTGCCACCAACTGTCAACTTGAGCGATCAATTACCTGCCACGACAATCTGACAAGTTGGTCACAATCCTATCTTGCCAATCAATCCAATCCAATCCAATGCTTTTGGCGATTTGCCTTTGGGTCAGACTCACGGTAGACCGAATGATCGGGTCGTGTCATCTTAGCGTCGAATCCTTGGTCTGTCTCACCATCTTTCCGGCGCACTACTCTCGCTCTGGCAGCCCAAAAAGACGACTGGCAGGGAGCCAGTCAGCACGAGGCTGGGCACAAGTACAGCTGGTTCCAAGTACAACGCCTCAAGATCCAACACCATGAGAAAGATGACCTGCTACAGTGACCTGCTACTAACACTGTCACAAAAAGGCTTCGACTTGTTTGGTGCCAGGTGCTCTGCACGGTTGGTTAGGTTGGTTCACAAAACTCCGCTTACAGGCCAAATGGTGCTCACAGGTCAATCGTGCTCCAAGAAAAACAACCTTGATCAATAATTCCACCCATTTATATAGATTGAAAAGCCTCTTCATATGGGGTGTTATCAAGAGTCTACATTACATGGAGGCCTCATCAACCCTGCTGAGCTTCCCGCTATCGTCAACGAGAAGCGGCCCACGTATCCCTTCATTATTATGTGTCTTCATCAACCCCCCCAGTTCCTTTTTCGACGTCAATGGTTCTTCAAAACCACACCGAAAACGGCGGAGGGATGACAGAAACACTGCAGAAAAAGTCAATGTTGATGAATGCAGATTGCCAGCGGCATCTTCCAAATAGGAAGAGTCCTAAATGTATTGAAAGCCGATTGCTCCAATCTGTTTAAAGGGCCCCGCCAATGCCCCTGTCAGAACATAATATTCTGTACTGTACTGGTATTGGTATGTACTGGTATTATTGTTCAACTCCCATACCTGGACCCTCCAACAGGTCCCCACCTGCCACTTTTAAAAAAAGTCAGCCACCCAAGGAGACCTGTTGGAAGGTGCTGGTTTTTCACCCTGCATACCCACTTGGGCCAGCCCTCCTGCCAGGTGCCACACCTTACTTGGAATGAGTGCCAGTACCGATGCGATGCAATCCGCATGCCTGGAGAAGCTCGTGCAACGAGACCGAACGAGTCTTGCACGTAACCACCGCGGAAGCAGCGCTTCCTAGACCTCTTTGGAGTGAACTCTCCACCTCCAATGACCCAGACACGACCTGTCGACTGCCAGGACGGACTGCCGCCCACGAGTCTGACCCCCCAAAATCCACCTGGCACCACCACCCCTGGTCTGATCGGCAGTCCTATGGCCCATTAGTCGTGTCTGGGTGATGAAACTTGAAAACCCAGACTTGAGATCTTGTGAGATGAAACCCATCGAAAAACTCTCAGGGTTTTTTGGAGAAACAGCTTGGCTCTTGTTAGGAACGCAACTGCAGCCTGTAGTAGAGACACTTGTCTATAATATGTCTTTATATATAATACATATATATATATAGTTGTTCAACAGTCCTGCAAGTCAGACTTCCCAGCTAGCTTTACAAACCCCTTGGCAAACATACGCAAACATGTTGAGTGCCAAAAAAATGTCCACAGGTTGATCGCTGGCGGATCCGTCTTCAGAAGCTTCGCACCAACAAGTCATACAGTACATAGCCAGTCACATGGTGGTCTTGGATTTGCGGGCCAGTGATCTCCAGAAAGCAACAATTTCTGTTGTCCTCCAAAGGAGATTCACGATATATTCCCCATAACAAGGTGGTCGTGTACCCTCAGCGACTGATGTGGCCCATGCTTTTAGTTCAATATCTTTAGGTCATCTCTGCGTCTCTCCTGTGAACCGTGAAAGTGACATGATTCGACAACAGCTTTTGTAGCCGTGGTTTTAGACAAGAGCTCCTGCAGCATTCAACTGCTTGTGGACTTTGTGCATGCCACCCAGGCCTGCTGAGGGCAAATCTATGCCATTTTCTTTTCAGGTGCCCAAGCAATGACATTCAGCCAGTCTTCCGACCCAACATGCACTGCATCCGCGAGTAGAAGCCTGTGAGGTTGGCACCAATGACCATTTTGATCGGCTTTGTTTCTTTGTGAGATGTCTCGAACTTCTTTTGGTCTGCAAATATGAACATGTTCTCCTTCAAATAAACGTCGCGCCTCTTCGTGCCTTCTTTTTTCGTTCTGCTGTTGTGAGTCATTCTGATCTTCAGGGCCTGGTCCTTGAATGCTTCAAACAAGGGTCCCTGACAGGTTCTTTGGCTTGCAATGCATAAAGCCATATAAAGCCTCCTTGAAAGAGAAAAGAAAACGTGGCCCATGCAACGAGGGCCGCCTTTGGGGCGGAGAGCAACTGCCGGTATTCAGCTGAGCAAATGCCAGGGATCCAAATACGTCCAAATACATCCACAGAAGGTACGACTGGACCCTCAAACCCTACCAAACGTGTCACCTTCTCGGAGAGAATTGTGGATCCATAGGGCCAGGCCGATTTGATGGGGATGTTCATCCACTTCTCCACCTGGTTCTTCAGTACGTGACCGAACTTGATCCCAAACGGTTACTTAGGTCACAAGCCTGGAAGATCCTGGAAAAGGTCATAAACAAAGACTCACTCCAAAGTTTGGTCAGTGAAGACGCTGATTGGTAGTCTTCAAAGATTACCCTCGATAAACTTCTATGTTAACATCATATATATATATAATCTATATTATATATATCGACCAGGACCGTCAAAGTGACCTCTTTGGAGTCTGTAAGTGACCTCTTCAGGGACCAAGTGACCTCATTCTGGGATCTCAAAAGGTCACTTTGAAGGTCCTGGGATCTAATGTTTTATATTGTGTAATACTGTAATTATGTATTATAAACATATTACAATAATATATGGCCGACCTGGAAAGTGAACGCCCTCTCCCACCCACATTCAGGTTTACACACCAAACTGCCTCCACAAATCCACCAATCTACCAACGTTTGCTTCAGTTTACACACCTCTCCCGTCGCGTTCGCTCCACTCTGCCCAAATCATCCCAAACCACCCACGGCGAAATCTCTCCAAGGCGCGAAACGAGCACGAAGTTTCGCCGGCAAATCTCCTCAGTCGGAGATGGCAGCAATAATGATGCCGGACCAGGAGCATCTGGGGGGCACCAGGAGCGTCAAGGTAGATGGTATTTCAACCTGGAGTCGACCGGGCATGATCCGAACAGAAAACATGCAATTACCTGGAGATCGGAACATGGGTACAGTCCTACCTGTTTTAAATAGGGTCATGTCCCATTTTCCAAGGTACTTGGAATTTGGGTCCAGGTGGTGGATACTCCGAACTCAAAGGCCCGACACTGGGCCGACACCCCGATGCTCGAGAAACAAAGCCAAAGGAACAAACTCCACAAATAACCTGACAAAACAAGGGTGGGTTTCAGAACCAAAAAAACGGGTGACTCGATTTGGCGGCCAGAAATACAAGCATGTCAAGAAACCCCCGCAGTTGGTGAGTTGTTGACTCCGGTTTGCACACCACGATGTTGGAAGCAGGGGCCTTGCGTTTGAGCTCCGAATCAGGTGCTTAGGAAAAAACCTAATATGGTTGTAGGATCTTATAGGTATAATACTATCCCACTACCAGTAATAGTGGATGATGATGGTTAGTAAAGGCCTTTCTCTAAATAATTGTACATAATGATCATAATTGTTTACCATGGTTTACCGACTGTTGCAGGTACAATGGGACTGACCCAATTTATGGTCCCGCAACATCACTCGTTTTGGATCCATTTGGGGTACATAGGGGTACCCATTCTCCTATCAGCCCCATCAAAAGAAGTTCAAATTTGTGGGTACGTTCGTTGACACCCTACTTGGGGCCCTGATGACTCGTGGACCAGCTGCCAGGTTGTCGGGTCTTTAGGAGAAATCAAAACATATCTCTGGGACTTAGGTGATGCCGAGGTCACGTGTAGGACCTAGCTGGTAGATACCTTCAAGCGACCAAAAACACACCTCATCCATCTTGAAACAGCAAGATTCAGTTCCAAAGGGGTGCTTGATGGAGGTTCTATAAGGGTGCCCCAACCAGCTGGCACTTTGGGTTTCAGGCTTGCAAAAGCTGTCGCTCTAAGCTTCCCCACTGAGCGCCTCAAGTACCCCAGGAAGGCTGCAGCATATCTCATCCTGGGCAAAACGGCAGATTAAACATTTTTCTCCAGTGTGTCCGCAGTTTTTACGGTAAGAGTTAAGGCCGGGTGTGTGATCGGAGGTTTTCATCGGCGTGCGCGGCTAATTCGCTGCTATTTACAGTCCATTCACCTCGAGATTTTCGAAGTGCATTTCGACTGCACCAAATCGGAGCGGCTTTGCGTCGGTGTGCAGATGGGCGCAGAAGTTGGGACGGTTTTCGGATGTTATCGGCGTGCTCTGACCTGGCAGGTCCGTGGAATGATTTTTGGACAGGTTTGTTTTCAGGAATCGGAGGAAGCCTCGAGCAAAAGCGGCGTTTTGACATCTTGATGTTGTTTTTGGAAGTGCTCTTGCTGCGAATCGCCTTGGCAGGGCTACACGATATGAATCTGGATGTGCAGATTGCGTTGCAGGCGCAGTACTTTGTGGACCTTGAAGTGCAGATTTCGTGAACAACTAGTCCGCCACGCTTCTGCCATCTCCAAGGTTGGTTCCGGGTTGTCCCCTGAACCATGGGCATCAGCTGTCCAAGGAAAAAAGCAAGCTTCCAGCACGTCAGACTTCTGTTCTGTTTTGTGCAACGGATTTGGCCTGTAGCCATCCATATTCCGCATGATTCTTCCACAAGGTCGATCAATGAAAGTCACACCATTGCCAATGCTGATGCCACAGCAACTGAAACTACTGCAGCAGCAGCCTGCAAAATCTTTCCGGGGGGAGAAAAGTGTCTTTCAACTTCTCAGGGAGAAGGACTGCATACTCCCATATTGCACAGGTGCCGCTGGCGTCGATATACCACTCCCAGGGAACATGGACTAGCTGGTGGGCTCGGTGCCCGCCCCTGCGATTGAGCCCGATGTCTTGCGATGCTTGCTTGTGGCAAGCCTCCTGACAAGCTCATGAAAGTACAACGACATAGTCGGGCGGTCCCAGTTGCGGGATCTGCAGGCCTCACTGATGAAGCTGCTACTGCAGGCTGGGTGCGGTTGCGCGGCCATGTCTGGCGCTTGGTCGGGGGCTCTGCCTGAGCGGCCATCAACAGAGCCCCGGCAGTGCCCATGCCACGGTCGACAAAGGAGGCGTGCGTGAAGTGCAAGGCTTTGTGGACCCTTGAAGTGCAGATTTCGTGGTAGGCGCAGCACTTAGTGGACCTTGAAGTGCAAACACAGCATTGGCTTCTAGACCTCTCAAACTCTAGATAGGCGACCTCTAGGTTGCTAGTCATCGAGACCGGCCCCCCAAAGGCCTCCACACCTCCACATAGAGCTCTCACCTAGGTCTTCCCTCTTACTGTAGATGTTATTGGATCTCAAGACCTTGATCTCGTCCGATCTCTCGATTTGGATCGCCACCTGGGTCTCAAGACCTCTAGACCTGTGCATCCCTACCACCACCACCATCACCACCACCATCATCACCACATCTAGACCTTAGACCTTTAGGTACACTATGATACTGTTTGGGGTCTTTGTGTTGTGTTTGTCGTTTTCTAATTTTATACACACCCAGCATCACCATCTCTGTTGTATGACACGGCTCAGCTCTCTGGAGACCCAGTCTCATGGTCCGTATTTTGTGGCGATAACGGGCCGCATATGAACAAAATTGAACGAGTGGGATCTATTCAGTAGGATGAACCCTTAAGGATGCTTTTTACTTGCTCCAATTCGTGCAGATGGATAACTGATATCCTGCCAAATCCGCTAAATTAGTCAAGAAACCCGTATAGTAGCCGTATAGGTCCTTCTCACTAGGATTTGGATGAATTTCCAGGAATTTCCTTCGATGTGGGCCTGTTGTGTTGGCTTTTCAGGCCCAACAAATCCTGAAACTAGCCACACAACGATCATCACAAACCACTTTGTCCACCCGCGTATACCCGCGTTATTCTTTTGCACAGCAAAGCGGCATAGCACCGGACGATGCGGTGGATCAACCAATCCCGCCACAACAAAAATCACCTTTGTTCCTAGTAGCGTCCTTGTTACTATAGTAGTAAGACCAGGAGCTACTAGTAGCGTCCTTGCTCCTAGTAGCGATGCCCTTTGTTCCTAGTAGCGTCCTTGTTACTAGTAGCGTCATGCGGCGTCCAAGTCTGTGGACTAGCCAAGAGTCGAAAATACCCGATTCAAGCCCCACGACGAAAAACCCTGACGATATCCAAGTGTCGCCATGATGTAGATGTGAACGAGGATATCCAAGTCGGATCTTTTTGTATTATTTCAAAGCCTTATTTAAGGGTCAACATGCACATGACTGCTGCAAAAAGCTCATAGATGTCATAGCTGTAGGTTTAGCACACCCTCACCCAGCCATGCAGTCGCCGCACCTGGCCATGCGAAGGGTCTCGGGCCACACAGGCTTAGGGCCGCAGACCTTCTTCACGATCCTGGGAGTTCTCTGCGCTCTCCGTGCGGAGCGGAGGCAGCCGGTGCATGCAGAAATTCCGGTGGTCGATTTTCTACGGCTGACTTCTGAGGCTGGAAATGGATCGAAAAGAAAGGACACCACATGAGCAAAGCCGGTTTCCATGTCAGGCCTTTGTGGGGCATGTCCGGCACCAATTGGTGGTTTAAGCAAACCAAAGAAAAGGTCAGTCGATTTGGAGTGCATAACTTGCCTTCCAACTTGGAAGAAACCATGTTTGATAAGTTTGCAAAGCGAGGATCCTCGTGCTCTTGCTTAACTTTCCTGATAGGAAGTAGGAAGGTAACTTGGGCTGCTTCTCTTCCAAACCAGCTAATGATAGCTATAGCAATGCTATATCATGCTGGCTAATCCTACCCAACTCACCTGCCCTTACATGAAACATCATGACACCTTGCAAAAGACCTCTGAGATTCCGCACCGGATGCCCTGGCTCCGCGCATAGCCGATTAACTGAGTGCAGGCCGGGCTTGACATCCATGGCTTCACATGCAAAAGAGTGAGCTTGACTCCCGAACCTGAGGTTGGAGGTCATTAAGGTGAACCAAATGTTCCACCTGTTGGTTCTTATTATGGGGAAACCAATCATCCCAAAAAACATGTTCAGGCTATGAACTGACAGGGACAGGCATCAGGACATCGGGTTTATTGGGAGTTCTGCTTGAAATCATCACCGGCGTGTAGGGTATGAAGCTCCTTGGCATGGTCTGCACAAAGGGGTGCAAATTGAAATACCGGTGGAATCTACAAAAAGACGAGCAGCGGCCGGGCTGCTCGAACTGGCTGCCTTCCCACCATAAATGGTCTGAAAAGTCCCTCTGTTGGAGAGCTTGAGGCCCTGGCATGCTCACTTGACCGCCACGTGCTGGAGGGTTTTTGGTCTCCAAGCACCTGATTTCGGCTAGGCCACAGATAGAGCTGAGACACAGCGTTCTGGGAAGGTTGTGGAACTTGTTGGCAGTCCACATGCTTGGGAGTCCACGTGTGGTTGTACTATGAAGTCACATGAAGTCAATATATGAAACCCACAAACTGGGAATCCACATCTGAGGTGGCCCGAGGAATGCGGTGCATGCGGTTGGCAGTTGGTAGGCCAGGGAGGATCTGAAAGAGAGATCCAGAATCTCGGCAGCGGGAATTGGGTTGGTCATGGTTGGTCTAGGTATATGGCAGTGGGTCAAAACACGGGGACACTGAAAATGAACAGAATAGACTACGAGTCGGAGGTCAACCTACGAGGGTGAGTTCCGGGGTAGCGCCATGACCTACAGCCGTAGATATGTGTCCGATGAACTCAAAGAAGCAGGTTCATAATTTGAAAGAAGCAAGTTGCTCTTGTCTGTACACATCTTGATATACTGTTTGTGACCTGTGACCGCATCTTGATATACAGAGACAGCCTTACACATAGGTCCCAGCATAACTACACTACATCTTGATATACTGTTTGTGATCTATGATTCGGAAAATGGTTTCCAGGTGCATTGACTACTTCAGTGTTCTCAAATGTTTATCCATCCAATCTAAGATCCGTAGCCGAAGATGAGCTTCCGTAGGCCAAGCACACCTGGATCCTAGTGGCCCACCGCCCTCCAGCTCGGGGTAGGTCTCCCAACAGATCCAACTCAGACAATGACGCAAACATTGACCTGAACACTCCAGTTCGCACCTAGAAAATGGGATATGATCCAAAAAAGGACCAAAACAAAACAGGGTACTTGTACCCATCGTCCGTGAGGTATGAACAGGTTGACGTTAGAACAAACACAATTCACTCCATCGGACTGATTCGGACTCCATCGGACTGGGTCGACGGATGCCCAACCAAGGACCTCTCTTGGTCTAGGGATCCAAGTACCTTCTCAGAAGGTGATTGGAGACTATTTATGTAGGCTTGGAGGGCCCAAGTACCTTCTGAGAAGGTATGTGGATCCCTAGGGTTGGTCTACGACCTTGGTCATCTACCTCACCAGCCACCCGCACCGGAGCCCGAAGCCACTTCACCAAGCGCGTGGGAGTTCCAACGCAGATCGCCGGGCTCCCCGAACGCAATGGCCGAAGACTTCTCCCAGCCTCGTGAGGTCATTGGTGAGGGAGATATCTGGTGACTGGTTCCTTCGAAATGAGACTTTCGATGCAGGAGGTATGTTTGGTGGATATATATATAGATATATGTGAACATATCTTGAGGGATCCAAGTGTGGATATGGATTCGTCGTCCAAGTGGATTTGTTGGACAGGTTTGGCTTGGATTGCAGTTAGGATGGATTGTTTGGTAAACCGGAACTCGCAAATGGGGGAACATTATAGAGTTTGGCTGAGAAATCTGAAAGCTATAGATGTACGTCAACTTTATGCTGAGGATCCGATTGACGAATCTCCCTGTTTGAACGTATGGTGCTGGCAGGATTCTATGTGTCTTTATACCTACAATGTTCTACAGTATCACTTCCCCCAAAACAAAGCATTCCACTATATTCCAGCCCTTTGAATCAATCGGTGTTTTCCGCGTCACACCTCACGCCTCACGGGTATCCCGTACCCCTACAGTTCGCTTGTCAATGCTTGTAAAAGAGGGCTTGTCCCATGTCCAAATCTGGCAAGGTGCTCGATATATATATATATATAGAGAGTTATAGTAATGTATGGCAAGAAACTGTAAAAGTGCTGCAATGAGTCTGACAGTTAAACACCGAGACAATACGAAACTGTACACCACACACGCAAAGAAAAAGATGACACCGGCTACGCAAAAAGATCCTATACTGTTGGGCATGGTCTGGAATCTACACAAAGAAAGCAGCTTGTTACAATGCAGCTTCTCTCGGTCCGGGATTGACCATCCTTGCATTTGGGGTGACAGGATGTTTGGAGCAAGTCACGTATTGAGAGAAACAACCTTGTTGTGTCAAAATACGCTGCGGAAGTTAACGTTGAAGGTGTTGCATGACCTGCAAACGATGTGGCACCATTGGATGATATTCAAAGGCACCATGTAGGATCATATAGGGTACATTTCACCGCTACTTGAAGAGAAGTGATCATGATGCGGAGTGATCGTTGACGTGATCGGTTGACGCAGCACTTCTGGAGAATCATTTGACGCAGCGGAAGGTTTACTAGTTACACCCGGACAAAATGGAACCTCATGGAACCTGAACATGGACCAGACTGGAAGACGATGTTCCGTCCTACCAACCCGACGCGTTGGTACCATCAGGTTTCATGTTGGTCTCGGAACCAGGGTGTACTTATACTCATACAAATCATCTGTACTGTCATTACCGGAATTCGCTTCGCTCCGAGGGTCTCGTGATCCTCGTGGTCGTAGTTGTGCCAGGAAAGCGAACATGAACAGAAGCGTGAGAGTCATGATTCCTCGGCTAAATATCACCAGGGGCTCCAACCACATCCGAAAAGAAGGTGCTTGGGGGTGGCTGGGGAGGTCAAACTGGAGGTTGGAGCCCCGACCGCGCACATCCGAAGTCTGTGTAAGCGGTTGAAACCGCTTCATGGAGGGTATCTGAGGTCTGTGTGCACAGGCTCTGGTTGGGGTTGGGTGTGTTTTGCCACGGAAAAAGGGAAGTTTATAGGGATGTTGAATGCATTGTATATAGTATATAGCGGATTCATAGGGGTTCTGGGTAGAACACCTTGTAGAACTGATCCAATGCCATCCTCGGTAGGAACTCATCATCATCGTCGCCCATCCAACGTGTCCAACGACTCCGGACTATGGATCCCCCCGAAGGAACTCACACTTCGGAACAAAAACATGTGAGACAGGCATAAACTCAAATGACTGACCTTCATCTGCGTCTTCCCGCTGGGTGCCCCAGGCGAATGATCCAAGAGGAGCTTGGTGGAAGGGCCAAGCTTTTTGCACACCTGGCGCAGTCGGTCGCCGTCGCCTGGTTCACCAACGGAGTAAGAGACGGTGACTTCAAGAGCCAAACACTCCATGGGACTGCAGATGCCGCCCCAGCCAGACCGGTCAACCACCCCTGGCCGTTTCTGTGGGCCAGTTCGATGTTTGGGTATCCCAGTTCGCTCCGTTGGGCCCAGTGGATGATGATGGTTAGGCAGGTCTGTCTCCCAAATAGTGATCATATTTCACTGGTCTGTGCCTTGTCTATGCAGTCGTTTTGGTGTCTAGCAGAATGTCACGATCTTCGTTGAAATAAACCAAACGACATAACGAGGCTGGAAAACCTATTTGCCAAAGACCTGAACAAATGTATGCAAATGTTACTTACAAACAACAGCAGCGCATCTATCAACAGATCCAGGTATAATACAATATACAACCCCTAAACTCATCATGGAAGTGGAAAACCATCTGTTTGTAGAGGAACATGTTCGTCCAAAAGGCAATTGTTCCACTTGCATGATTGGGAGTGTAAGAGAACCACTGCCCAATCTCCAGCTGTACAGCAGCCACACATGAACATCCACAAATCTATGGCGAGTGTCGCCCCCCCGAAAGCCTCCAAACCATACTTCTGCCCAAACGCCCAGGTCCATGCACCAAATTGCTTCGCCTTCGTCCCCCAGCCAGACTCGACTTGGCCTCTATAGCCGTTTGCACGCACCGCATGTACACGGAAGAAACCACCACATGCAGCTGTCCGCCGTTCCTGGCCAGAAGAGATCGTCGACAAGCTCGGTTCCGCGATGGCGGGTTCCCCGCAGCGAGAACCACACTTCTCAGTGCAGGAGACGTAAAGGAGAACCCGAACCGAAACGAAACAACATGTGTCAACACATGTTTTGTAACGTGTCACCCAGACAAAAACTGGCCATGGGCCTTGTTGCTGAAAGGTGCAGTGATGTTTTGTATCAGCATCCAAGTCGCAGAAATGATTTCAGGCAAATGTTGACGTCATAAACCATGGAACACATAGAACCAGTATCGTCAGAAGGTGGATGCAACAGAAATCACGGAAGAAACACGCTTTACGCTTTGATGAACGAACAACTGTTGAAGCTCTGTTTCTTCCAGGTTCCAAGCGCTGGGGAAGTCATTTTGTGAAGCCCAAAGTCTCATGATTCATGATAGTGCTTGGGATAGGGAAATAATGGCTTGGATTTAAGAACAACATGGAAAAACAAAACATACCTCTTCCTCATGCCTGAGGATTCTCCCAGTTCGGGAAAATGAATTGAATAACTAGCAAAATCAAGATTGCAAAGCCCTTTCAACGAGTCTTAGTCTTGAAGACCCTTCCAGGTGTCCTTGGTGCTTCTCTGAAACATGGAGAGTGCAGACCTCGATATGTTCAAGTCAATTCTGCCCGGCACGTCCAGTGGCTATTGGGTCTACATGTTGTGGTCCTCTATCTAAAATACAAGTACTAAGTACCCGTTGCCAGACCTACTGATGGGGAAATAGCTCATTTAAACCCGAGCTGATCTGGTTTCTTTGTTGTATTCCCATTTTCTTTCAGAGGCATTTGATGGAATTCTGGAATCATTCATTGAACCTTAAGTTGCAACCACCCATCATCCAGCACGTCCACCGGCCCCACCGGCCCCACAGCTTCGCCTCTCGGCGAAGGCCTTCACCGTGTTCGCCACTCGGGAGGCCTCGGGACCGGTACGACCCGGTACGACCGTAGCCGTTGTAGTCATTGGGTCGAGGTACGTACTGAGACTCCTGGTAAATACTATACTGATATCATATATATATATAATACTAACTATATAGTACTTATCTTATATAATAAATGAATAATAAATGAAACCGTCAACTTGGAACTCCCAAAGAAGCCGGCTTTTTCAGAACGATCTGCCATGTGCTCTGCCTATGACATGCTGATGTACTTTTGAAGGGACGGTACCCTTGTGACCCGATCCCAAGAGCCGCTTGTGATTCAAACCAGGGGATTGACCATAGACATTTTAGGTTTCCAACATCCTGAGACATCCATCATTAAGACTAAACACCAATCGAGCTATCTTTAAATGTGCTGATCAAATATTAAATATCACCCCTGGCCTTGCAATCATGGATCCAAAATACTCGCGAAGAATGGCATGCGCTGCTTGGATTTGCAGGAAAAGTAAAACATCTTCCCCATGCCAGGAGATTCACCCTGTCCAGGAAAAGAAACATCACCTGAAAGCCGCCAAAACTAAAGTACATGAACCCTCCCAAGCATCCTGGACAAATGACACATGAGCCTGAAAACGACAGGTCCTTTGTGCTCATCTTACGAGATACATGTCCTTCCTCCCAGGTGTGCAGTATCGAATTGGCTGTCGACAGACCGGACTTTCTCCGCACGCGCCTCGTGGCGACCGTGGTCGCTGAGAGGAGGGTCGATCGGGAATTCTTTGGACTCCTGCCGCGACAGGCGCGACGCACGAGCGGTGACGGTCTCCGGACGGTGCGTCTCCGTGGTGTCTCCTGGTTTTAGCTGCGGATCCGGACTCTGGTCCCTTCTGGAATAAAGGTAGACATTTCACCGCATCACGTATTTGGTGTCCAAAAATGCATTCTGAATCTCTGATAGAGTATTTTCTAGGGGATGTCCACAAAGGCAAGAGTTGGGGGTGCCATCTTTGGTCCCAAGATGTATCGCTGGCAAGGTGGCTGCCCGGGTGGGCGCCTGTGTGTCAAAACCCTAAAGAGCTGAGCCTATCATGACATTTCTCAACCGCTGGATGCTACGGGTGGCAGCTCAGGGAAGAGGGTAACATAAAATCAAATCAACATAAATCAACGATTCAAAGATTGAAAAGAGTGCCGTGCTTACTTAGGCAACATCTTTGAAATGATTTGAACTATAAGGATGCACGTTTTGACTCGGTTTGGGGAGGAAAATCTTACAACAAATCTATTTTCGCCACGAAGGGACGAATAGGTTTTGCCATAGCAAATTCATGTGTCACACCCGCTCGCTGGCACTTGTGCTGTCACATGTCTTACGGTTTCTGTTTCGACCAAACAAACTGTGTGATGGTTTGTGACGGCCAACACAGTGGCGGATTTTTTTCAAGTATTTTCATAGGGAGATGTGCTATTTTTGGTGCATCAGGGCCATCAGGGTTCTTCATCCGTTGCACCCCCCCGTTGTGCACTGGCGCGGGTGGAACAACAACGCCAACAAGTTTTCGTGTGAAACAAACATGGTTCGGTGTTCAAGGTGAGGAAATTCGATGCACTACCTGGACTCCACCAACAAGAAGTGAGTTTTTCCCACGCAGTTTTGAAAAACAGGTGGCATCTACATGAGTTTGTGGGACTGGGTCCCTTGACATGTTTTTTGTTTGCCCTATACTATAAGGTTGTAAGTTTGGGTCCAGGGACCAATGGATGATGATCATTGGTAAAGACCTTTCTGGAAAAACATAAAAATGTGATAACCATTGCAACTGTTACTGGTAATCAACGAAGCATCACACACTTAGTCCAGTAAATGCATGTGAAAGTTGTTCCATGCCAGTTTTGACTTGTTGATCCGTTCCCGCCAGGAAAATTGAGTTTACCGCCCAGTGAGCCTCCAACATTGACCAGGTCTCGCCATTGACGTGGGCGCCCAGGATATCTCAACACGAACAGCCGAGCGTTTGCGATCACATTTACTTGGATGCAGCCATAAAAGGGCACCAAACCTTAAAGAATTTAACGCTAAGGAATTATTTCCCAAACACTACATATATATATATATATGCATGCTTACATTGGGTTGGTTGAAAAGGGGACAATTTAGGTGAATATGGAATACATGGGTGTCTGCGAATATCAAGGTGTTATTTTCTGTGACTGCCCATGGAATTCTACAAACAAGAGGCCGCACTTCTGGGCAAAGTGTACCTGCATGCACCTCAAAAATACCAGCCGGAATACATTGGGAGTGTTCTGCAAAGGAAAAACTACAGTACCCATATGTATATATCTTATATATACCATGCATGTTGTAGGTCGTAGATCGTTGAATAACAATTCAGCATTATTTATGATATTCATGGAACATTCAACTGCTCTTGTAAAACATACAAGCATCCAAGATATAGGCTCGCAAAAACTTAATCAATTGTGATTGGCCGGTGATGCTAGCACTTTACGATACTGAAGATTAGACCTTGGCTTGCAGACCGGTAAGGTTAAAAATGCGAGGAACAGAAATGTTGAACAGACTCATTAGCACTTTACGGAAAAGTGGGGTGAACAGCTTGTTCAACAGTTCGTGCGCGGGCGAAATAAACAGGCACGTTTGCACAGGAAACGTGCAGCGTCTTCGTTGGCCGCTGACTGGGGGCACCAGTGGCCCCGCAAAAGGGCTAGCCATGCAAAAGGGCTTGTGACATGTCAGTGGGCTTGGAAGCTTTGGATGGGATAGGGCCAGCTGCAATCCCTTCAGACCCATGGGCCAAAATATCAGCCTGCTGGCAATACATGAATCGCCAAACTGCTTGGCAGGGCTGCTCGATATGTGTGCTCCGATGGGGCTTCCCCCTTGACTTTTAGAGGAGGTCTCGAACGAAATGCTCGTTTTGGAGACTTGGACATGTGAGGATGAAGCTAGGAGGCCCAAGGAATACTTATGTGTTCAACAAGAGTGGGCCTTGGCAAAGCTTGAATGAAAATTGCCACGGACCTCTCAAATGTGGGCCTTGGCAAGAATTGACGTTGGTCCTTAGCAGACAATGTCAACTCTAATTCTTTCTTGGATTTTGTGTGTCACTGCTGTCCTAGCTTGTCCTGTCATGGAGCCGGGTGGAGCAAAGGTGCAATGAGCGTTTCCCTCACATCCACCCAATTCCACTAAGATCTCTTGGCAGCTCCACTGCGTTTGTCCCTGCCCGTAGGGCGATGACCATCATTGCGCCAGCTGCCACTGTGATGCCAATTGCCACTTTGCCAGCTGCCACTGTGGCTCTGAGTCTGCGGGCTGTCACGCCAGCTGCTGCTGCCACTGCCACTGAGCCATTGGGTATTTGAACTGCCACCATCATTGGCCTGCCAGTTTTGCCAGGCACCATCACTTCCACCATGCTGTTGCCATTGGCCAGAACCATGAGCATCATGGCCAGGCCAGGACTGGCCTGAGCTTCCATGCCAATCAAAACAATTGGGCTTTTGGCCGCCCCACTGCCACGACTGGCCGGTACCATCATCATGAGTCTGCCATGGGGAGTCTCCATGCTGCTGCAGACTCTGCCACGACGAGGAACCAGTTGTACTGGCAGGCTGTTGCTGCCAGTCTCCTTGTTGAGCCTGGCGCCCCCGAGCTCGCCGCTCGGCCATTTGGGCCTTAGCCTGGTTGCTCCACCCAGTGCCACCCCATGGCTGCTTGTGATCCAGTCGGGGTGCAAAGTGCAAGGTGAAACGTACGCTGAGCTGAGAAGCCCCTGCAAGTTGCCATGGTGTGCCTTGCACAGACATCACATGTTGCACTGGATGAACTTGAACATGCCAAAACACTGTTCAGCAGGCAGTCCCAGGTATGCTTGGGCCTGGTACAAGGACAGGTTTCACTGGCCACACCCATCTGGGCTTGGACACAACAAACATGAAAGAAACAAGCTGAAAAACACAACAAGCTGAAAAACACAGCCGTTGAGCAGTTATGCAGACTGAGCGGCCTGACCGCAAGATTTTTTGACCACCTGTGCACATAGCATGCAGAGTCCACCTGAAACAAATGCAGAAAACCACAGCTGTCCCTTCCATCACCTCCAAGACCCTGGAAAGAACGATCCCCAACGCCGCCAAAGTGCACCTCTCTTGCCGACATGTTTTGCGCGGTGAGAAGGTTCCCTTCCTCAGTCACATGGCAGGCAAAATTGTGAACGGTGCCATGCCTGGTGTCAGTGGCCCTTCTGCAGGCTGGGATGTCTTGAAGAACATGACCGCGGTGTTGGAGTCGAGGGATGTACAGGGTGAAGTGCTTGCTTTGCATGTAGGCGTGACGATCATGTTCCAATCACTGAAGATCCACGGCTCAAGTTCGACCAAGTCGTTGGCCTGAATGCCGGCCCCCTGTAGTATTTTGGCTACATAAGTAAGCATGGGGTTGTTGGAGGGCTGATGGAGCTGGTCACATTGGTGACGGAGGTAGTGGAGAAGTTGTTGAAATTCATCGGTGCCAAACTGGTCATCGGCGTTGTCTCGATCGGCCTGAGTGTAGCGGATCACACCTGTGGTCTTGCGCCCGTGCGCCGGGTGCAGATGGCGGGGCCGCGACAAGGCGGGTGGCGGCGCGAAAGGCGCGCAGCCCAGCCTTGGCATCCTTGGCTAAGCATGCTGATGATATTGCGTTCTTGGCTCCCATGGTCTCCGATAGGGGGTTCAATCGGTCTCATATGGTCTCATCTTTCCTTGGATGCCGCGGCGGGGCGGAAGGAGCCGAGGAGCGTCAGCGCGCCGGGCGAGCTCGGGAGTGTGTTGCCAGCCTTCGGTTTTGAGCTTGAGGTGACGGGCGATGAATGGCCAGCTGAGGGAGGGCATCCAACGAGAGATGTGGGAGTGTCTGCTTTGCTCACTGAACCTCTTGGCAGATGAATGCCACAGCCACAAGATCAATCATGGCCAGGAGCAGGATGATAGATGTGACGCAAACGTGCAGTCATCAGCTGGAGGCGGAGGAGTCTTATCTTGTTAATCCCATTCTGGGAGTACGGCTGTTTGACAAAGGAATGCAATGACAGTGTCTTTTGTCCTGCCTGAGCATCGAGGCACTTCCAAACATAGGTTCTGTTGCCACAAAACACTCTCACTGTGTCCCACCAGAGTGCCCCACAAGAGTGTCCTACAAGAGTGTCCCACAAGAGTGTCCTACAAGAGTGTTCCGCAAGAGTGTCCCACAAGAGTGAGTGTCACACAAGGCGTCCCACAAGAGTGCACAAGAGTGTCCCACAAGTGTTCCCGACAAGAATGCGTCCTACAAGAGTGTCCCACAAGAGTGTCTCCTACAAGAGTGTCAACAATTGTTTGGCCGTTTGTTTTCGAATACGTGTTTGCATTCGGGTTCGTGGGTTCCATCTTCTTTTCTTGGTGGAGTCTGGCCGCATGACATGTGCTAGCAGTCTCAGACGCTTGACCGCTTGGCTGAGTGAGGATGAGTATGAAAATGAAGCTTAACATTCGTTTAAGATGTTCATGTGTTCTTCTATGTCTAGCCTATGTCTAGCCTGTGTTCTTCTTGATGTCCAGACTCGTTTCCACTCCTTCCGTCCCTCGCCCCTCCCGCCCTCTCTCTCGCCTGCTCGCTCCCCGTGCCGCAGCACGGCGAAGAGCCGGCTGGACGCGGAGCGTCCTGGCCGATCCAGAGACCGTGGTCCATACCGTCTGATCCATACCGTCTGTGGAACAGCGATCTGGAAGATCCTGGGCTGTGTTTTTCCCTTGAACATCAATTTGGCATCGGAAGATCCCAGGATAGCAACAATATGGTTGCTCTATATTCAAAAAATAACAAAAACAAAGAGTGTCCATATGTGTCCATATATATATAGCATTTAGTTATATTCTGAATTTCTGACTATGTTCAGCAGTGTTTCTTATGCACAGTGTCACCGTGTCACCCTGTGACGCTGTACCAGCGTCGAGATTGGTCAAAGACACAAGGCACGAGGGCCTTTGAAACTAAAACCAAGGAAGAGAAAAAGGTCCAGTAATCACAAGGACAGCCTGAACCCTCCAAATCTGGGCAACCCATACTTGCCCAAGTCAGTGGCACATGCAGTTTGCGCCGGCCTGAAGCAGGAAAACAAATAGATGTCAAAGATGCAAACGGAGATGTGGGCGAAGGCACCCAGACTTGCATTGTGTCTTCAGCCCCAAAAATGGAATCATTGCTCACACGCGGTCTCTGAATGGCTGAAATGGACGGTGTCGCAGTGGTGTGCTGTTCTATACTCTTCCGATGGATCCACGGCCACCCTCGACTGGGGCGACTGGGTCGACCTGAGGCGGTCCCGTCGGGTCCAGGAGGATGGCAGTGGATACTGACGATTTGACCAAGTCGGTCGGTCCCGTTGGCCCTATTGGAGCGGAAGCGGGGGGGGTCGACCATGACCATCCCCAATAGGCTCCTCTAGCCATAGATGTTGTCCATTGCTCATATACTGACCACAGACTTCCTCTTGAATGGTGCACAACCAGGCTGTAAAAAGATCACAGGATCATGAATCATGCAAGTAAATTGTGACTAGTTTCCGAGGTGTACTCCAGGCATATTGTTCTCCGGCAGAATGTTCAATTCCTTATCACTTATCACCATGACCAAAGTCCATTGAATTCCAGCATTAATAAACAGCAAACATCATCAAACTTCCATAACTTCCACAATGAGTTTTTGTGCATTTGGCATTCGATAGAAGGTGCACAGGAGGGCTATCCCGACGTCCGGGTCTTCCTAACGCATCATTTGTCCAATCAGCATTACAACACTATGTTGACTGAGGAACAAAGTCAACCATCAACCTTAGTTCTTCGTTTCAGGATTACTACATTGGACCACTCATTCGTCGCAGTTCACATGGAACTGTTCCACTCGACGACCTTTTCAACATCAATATCAAACAGATTCAAAAAAGTGGTGGCAACAAATCAACACTCAGGCTTCTTGAGAAATTAATGCAACTGGCAAAATTCCACCTGAGCGCCTTGCAACCTTGAATTAAACATTCACATTCTGCAGCTCTGCTTTCACTTTCTATTGCTGTGGCTTGTTCTTTTGGACCAAGTGGTCGTTGCAGTGCTGGGTGTTTCCTCGAATTTGCTTCATGAGTCCTTTCCAGACCGCGGATTGGACAGGGCGGGATCGAGATGGCGCCGCGCGATCGAGCCGCGAGAAGGAAAAGGGTCGCGGAAGGTCTTCTGGGAGACTGAGTCCAATGATTCCAATGTGAATTCCATCTGTATCTAGAAGTTAAGATGAAGAAACAACCAGGACCTTCAATGTGACCGGACCTTCAACACCCACCAGCGGGTAAACTCCTCAGTCCGACGGTCCTGGTTTTTGAGAGACAGGACGAGGCCGCGGATCCCTTCAAATCCTGGAAGTGTCCAGAAAGACATTTGAGTTTCCGGATCCCATCCCGTCTGCGTTGAATGTCGTCCTGAGATCAGATGTTTCACCCGCTGTCGAGGCCAGGCAGGAGGTAGAGCTCTTCCAAACCCGGCCGCCGGCCTTTGGTTTTGACCTTCACCTTCGTGCGTTCACGTTCAGAATTGAACGCCTGGCGATGGCACGAGCGCCGTCAAAGACGTTCTGCGGCCGGTCGAACTTGGACCCTACCTGGACTCCAGTTTTGTACCTTAGAGAATCGGACATGACCCGAACCAAAAACAGGTACAAGAATGCAAAAGTAGTCATGTTGCGAGGTAATTACGACTCCAGGTCGACTCCAGGTACCTGGACTCTCCAGTCCGCACCTCAGACAATGGGACATGACCCTTTAAAAAAGAACAGCTACAAAAGTACCCATTGTACATGCTACCTTCAGACTCCAGGTAGAAACTCTAGACCCAATCATGTGGGACCCTGGATCTTCAAATGGACTGGACCAGCACGTGAATGTGTGTAATCCATGTTGGAAGAGGGTTTTCAGGGGCTGGAACGGCAACAGACCTCCCAAAACGTCTACTCTTTTCAAAAAAGAAAGCAACACCTTGATACGTGATACATGTGTTTGCATAGGGTGAACAAATGGTTAAGAGAAAAACCCATGTGTTTTGGATCTGTCTCGGTCGATCGATCTTCCGGTCCCGCAAGGTACAACCCCCCCCAAGCTTGCCCCAAGCGCGTTCGACGGACCGGGTCGTACCGGGAAAATGGGACATGACCCAAAGAACAAGAAAGACAGATACATCAAATACAATAATGTAAATACACGTTAATAGAAAAATGTGTTGTTTCTTTCTTTTAAAGGTACGTATACTAGACTGAGACTCCAGTGACTCCAGGTATCCATTTTTGGGGGGTGGGGCGCCGATCCTGTTGGGTTTTGGATTCCGTATGATTCCATTGGACAGCATCCGTGCTTGACACGAGGCGAGGTCGAAAGGGTCGTCCATGTTCTCCGACCATCCACCTGGATTGGCTGGAAGACTTGGTTTATTTAACTCAGTATACAGTGTATATATAATATATGACATATCTACTATACATATTGTACATAGATACATTTATAGAGAGTATATAGAGAGTAACCCAATGTCTTATGTGACATCTTATGTGACTAAAACAAGAACCTGTTGACTGTTGACACCTGACCCATCGCATGAACTCGACAACTCTTTGTTGCCCTCACAGTAACTGTTGCACCTCTCCACCCCGGGCCCAACCGACACTCCTCCACCACGTCTCCCACGCGATTTGCACATCTCTTTCCCGCGCGTCGGAGTGGCGTCAGGTGCTGGCCGCACCAACGGAACTCGCGGTAAAGGTGTAGACCTGCGGAGGCGCGGAGGAGGCGCGTGAAGGAAGGAATGTCAAACTGTAGTACTTGGACCCTGTCAGGTACATTAGAAAATCCTATAAAAACAGGTAGGGCGTACTTGTGCCTCGTGCCCATGTTCGCTGTACTTTGAGAATTCAGGTACTTATACTTCTAACGTATGATGAAACTGGCACCCAGCCCAACCATGGATAATGAAACTAGCAATTCTTAAAGGGTGGCCCAGGGCCCAATTTGCTTGGCAAAACTGGACCCATCAGCTGATGGGTCCTGCTCCACCTGGTCTTTCACGTCTTGGAGATCTCTTCAAAAAGACCACCCTATGGAATCACAGACCTGAGAGGGTGAGGAAGGAGACAAGAAGCAGCTCTCAGGCGCCGGGTTCAAACAGCTTTTAGAAGGAGGTATTCGGAAATTGTGGGGAGAGAACCACTGGTTTCTATTTCAAACAGCTGTGAGAGCTGTGAGATATCCAAACAGCTTTCATTTTGGAGTGATGGGTGTGTGTTTTCCCACCCGGGAACCACATGGTTGAACTCTCAAAGGTCGGCCGAGAAACATCTTCCGAAAAGAAGGTGGTCGCTGAAGGGTCGTCACATGCGACCTTGCCCAGACTATCCATGGGACTGAAAGAGTTACATGTACATTTACCGCCTGAATTTGACCCCAATGTAGGTAGCTATTCCAGTCCCATGAATGGTCTGGGTTGTGAGGTACCAGTATTGACCCACACGACCTTCCCCGAAATCAAAGCCCCAGGCTGCGAATTGGCTGCGAATCCGTCCCCAGCCACAGTGGAAGAATCAGTCAGCCACTCTTCGCATCTTGCCTGCATATCACTGCATGTCACTACAGGGACAAGCGTTGTCCCATGTCACTGCATATCACTGCATGTCACTGCATGTCACCATTTCAGACCCAACGCGTCTCTCTCCCGTCCCTGTTCTGGGAAGCCAAAGGGCACGACCAGATGTGCTGGCACAAAGCATGGGCACATCTTCTCGCCAATCGCCGCCACTGCTGCCACTCGGTGGTTTCCTTGGCAACAACGAGAAGCAAGCATGGGGTCTCTTTGGCATGTTTTTGGGTCTGCTGTTGTTTTTGTTGACCTTCTGCTGATTGGATGGTTTTGATGCAGTTCAACGTGCTGATACCGACACCACTATACCACTACCTCTTCATCAAACTGTGAGCGGTGGGATGATGTCTGATAGATCTCGGCGCCCTTTCTTTGCGATTGGCAACCTCCTGGCATGGCAAAAAAACACCGCGCAATCAATGAAGCTATGTTGTTATCAGTTATCAAAACAAATTGAAGGAAAACTAAAATACCTCAAGAACTAGTGAACCTCCTTGGCACTCCTTGATCCAACCACATATTTTCCACTGCTTCATGAGACCAACTGAAACAAAGCTTCAAGTTCATTCAAGTTCTCCATGAACATGCTGTCCACTTGCACTCCATATGGAGGCGCAACGGAATCAGTCCGGATCAAGATCATCGTGTCAAGCCGAAGCAATGGCTGCTGCGAGAGAGAATGCAACATACAGTGGTGTGAAAACAGATGGCACTATATCCCCCCAAAGTGATTTGCATCGACCCCCATGTCAAAGTCAGCTTGGGGGTTGTGCCATCTGGTCTGAAACCGGAATGCTCGGCATTTTGCATTTTGGTATATCTCAGCTGGAACCGTCAAAGAAGGTGTTTCGGAGACAGCTCTGTGATGAAGCTAGCACAGAAGCTGCCCCCTTCACTGGACATGCTGTGTGCCTCTGAAAACGGTCTTCCACAAATGGGTCATAAGTCATAACCAGTTCTATCTTCCTCGCACCAGGTACTGGTTTCAGGGGGTGCTCTCTCACCGGCGACAATGATGCTCACCGAAGGTGACAATAGAGTTGCTTCCCTGGCACAGGGCCATGACTGGCGACATGACTGGAGCAAAGCGGGTCACCCACCAAGTCTCGGGGCTGCAGAATCTGAGAAAGTCATACTCATGTTTGTCATACTCATACTAACCAAGAGAGGTTGAACAGCCCTTTGTCGCCCATCCCATATGTACCACAGACCAGGGTCCTAGTCCTGGTCTCTCAACCTCTTTTGGAATGTGAATAAGCCCATGATATCCCATGATTCATATTCAATCACATTTAATCACCACCCCCAGAAGGGTCGGTGTTGTTTTTTGGAGCAGGACCTCAGGATGTGGCTCTAAACGAAAGGCACCAATAAATACACCAAAGATTACGGAGCTGTTCGGGAAACCCCGCAAACCCGGGACCCACCATGCCGGGCATCAACAGGAAAGCCACGTCTAAGATGTTGCTGCCCGAGGGGTCCGGCTCCTTAGGTAAGATTGGAAGATAAGTAGAGACCTGCATGAGATTGGATAGATCTACAGTAAATGGAGAGACCTAGCCGAGATTAGATTCATCATGAAGGATCTATATAAATAGCTGGAAAATACCCGAAAATTGTATATCTATAGACTTGTGGATGACCAAACTTTTGGTCATGTTTTGTTTTGAGAAACCCTGTTGCATGCTTGAGGAGCCTGCTTAGATGAGGACAGTATCCTTAGAATGGTACACATTGTTTCAGTCAAAGATTGTATCGGATTCTAAAAATGATAGACCCACAAACATAAAGATGGGTGGGAGACCAGGATGCATGATTTTCAAACATTATCAGAATCCATCTTGTTTGTCAAACAATCTGATGCTTGAAACTACCTCTATGTAATGATGTACGTGTTTGTTTTTCCAATGTTTGTACTTAGTGGATAACCCAGCTGCTTTCCCACAGAAACTGAGGCACTGTTCCACCAGGTTCCAGTCTGAAATAACCAGTCCAGACCTCTGCACAGTTTGGTTCATTCCCTCCACGAACCCATCGATGGTGATACAAGCGCTGCATACGGGCTGTAATGAGTGATGGACGAATGCTCTGGTGTTGTTTCTTGACCACCCCCAACAAAACAAACCAACAATCACTTTTACCAGCAGTAGTAGTGCTTGCACTTGGTGCTAGTACTAGTGGTAGTAGTAGCAGTAGAAGCGGAAGTAGTAGTAGTAGT